TAAAATATGTGCCACTACCACATGGTAGTGTGGAAATGATATTTTTACCCTTTTGGCCTGTTGAGTCGACTTTGCAACGCTCGTACGCTAAAACTGTTCATTTTACGAAAAAGAGGTTATTACATAAATTATAGGAAATTTCTCTAGTTTAATTTATTACATAGCTATTTTAATCGTAAAGTGAGTAGGAAAGGAGATATTGTCAAAAAATTGTTTTTAAGCTCCATATTTCCAATATGGCAGTGCGAGCGGAAACATACGAGGTGGCATAGTAGAAATTGGGAAAGAACGCATCGAAATCTATAAAACTATAAATTTTCGAAACTCCTGGAGAACTTTCCAGGTAAAACTACCAAATGACCACTAATGCTCGTATATCTAGTTCACACTGTAGAAACTTTAGAGTATTAATTTGTTTTAAAATATAAAACTATCTTTTCGGATTTTTTCGCGGATTTATTTGGATTTTTGGTTCCCGACGTTTCGAATGCTTTATAGTTTTATTTAAAATGTCAAATATTCGCGAAAATATATATTAATTTGTTTATTAAAATATTAGATTAGATAGATGCTTTATTAAACTCTCTTGCTTTAGACTAGTAATTTAAATTATTAATACATGGGTTGATGTGTAATGTACTTATTATCGGTCTAGTTAGCACAAGCTCTTACGTCTTCATCTCAGTGTTTGAGGCTCGAGTATATCCTCACTAGAATTCCTCGTAAAATTAAAAGAAAATATCAAGCTTTCGCTGGTTATGTAACATGAAGTGTACAAATATTGGATGTCAATATTAGTTACATTACGAGAGTTCATATGACGGTTTGAAAATATAAGAAGTAAAGTTGAAAGTAGAGGTGACTTTGATATGTACTCGTAAGTAGTTTAGATTCTTTGAAAATTCGATCTGAAGTGGATGTGGTAACGAGTAACTTTGTCTTTATAAATATATGTATATATCTTGATCAATGATATAATTAATATAAATTGTAGATCTAAATTTATTTTTATAATGAAGTAGAATTGCCCGCGGCTCTGCCTGCGTTCAGATACCAAAAACCAAATTCTATGGTTTTACATATTAGTATACTCTTACATTGCAGTTTTTCATATATTTTCTCAGAAATTAGACATTCTCCCGCGGTAAAAAGTATCCTATATGTTGACCCGGATAACCAGCTATCACCATACCAAATTTCATCAAAGTCCCTCCAGTGGTTTTTCTGTGGTGCGGTAACAGACAGACAGACGGACAGACAAACAAACAAAAATTCTAAAAACTATAGATTCGGCGTCTGTATTGATAATAATGTTTATTTCCATAAGATTTTTCGAAAAATATTTAATGTATAGATTCGGCTTAGTTACAATTTTACTATATGTATAGATATCATTCATAGATTTTGATATTTTCCATTTTAGAAACTACATTTACTACACCTATTCATATTTATTTATTTTAAAAATATATTTTATTATGTTTTATAAGAAATATATTTATACGAAAAATAGTTAATTTATTAACTCCCGACGCAAAACGATAGGGTGTTATAAGTTTGACGTGTCTGTATGTAGCACCGTAGTTCCCGAACGGATGAACCGATTTTGATTTTGTTTTTTTTTTGTTTGAAAGGTGAATTAGTGGGGGGGTTTCTTAGCTGTGTTTGATAAATATGGGTCCAAGATGGTCGGAGGTTTTTTAATTTATCACTTGTTGTAATGTATTGAAAAGCTAAAGAGTGTTTGTTAGTTTGTTTGAATTTCATTTTTTGTTTCATTTCTTGAGTAGGTTTATTGAGAGAAGGATTTTTAATGCTTATGCTAAGCGATATCTCATCATGTAATATCAAATGAACAATTCTTATATATATATATATATATATGAAATAAATTTATATATATATATATATATATATATATAAATTTATTTCGTTTATCTCGGAAACGGCTCTAACGATTTGGATCAAATTTTGTATTTAGATAAATTTTTGCTTTTTAAGTTTATCTATATATCTACATATGGTTGTCTTTTATGAAACACTTACTCTTCATTAATTGTGAGAAGATTTTTGCTATTCTTTTATAATTAATAAGTTATAAATAAGTCAAGGATGGTTTCATATAAAATAAATATGTTTGAAAACTCAACTCGTAATTAATGATAATAACTAATTTTAATTAACTAACTTTACGTTTTTCTTTACCATAACTTACACAGATTTTATTTAAGTTTTTATGTACGTTAGAAACTTCTTAGAAGTATTTCTTCATAAATATATATGGTGCGCATCAAAATGATACGTGCACTATATTCCGAACACGTGGCAAGTGTAATATCGTCTTCCTGAGGTTTACCTTTTTGTTATACTATCAGCTTACATGATAAAAGCTTTCTTTTATACTATATTTTTAAAGTTTTTTCAAGCATTTCATGGTGCTTATATTTATGATAATGGGAACGTCTCGAGGCAATTTCCTACATTATACGTGTGTATAGATACGTTTGTATAGATTTTACTTTTATTGTTAAAAAAGTTAAGAGAAAAATATATATCCATTTCCATACTAATATTATAAATGTGAAAGTGTGTTTGTTTGTCTTTCTTTCACATCGAAAGGGCTCGGCGGATTGGCGTGGTTTTTTTTGTGGAGATAGTTGAAGGACTGGAGAGTGACATAGGCTATAGACTTTTAGCGGGAGATTATCTCTTTCCCACGGGAAAACACTTTATAATTCAATCCAAAAAAATATTAATGATCAGAATTACTTGAAACATGGTATTAATGCTCTTCAATACAATTAATTAAATACGTGTTTTAGCATTTTTCGAAATTTATCTAATAAGGGGGTAAAATAGCGGATGAAAGTTTGTATGAAACCTAACATTTTAGAGCTTTTTTGTAGTTTTAGCTCGAACGAAGCCGCAGGTTCTGCTAGTTTAATTATAACAACTTAATTTTCTTGTTAGACACAGAAATTAGCCCACAATGTTGTTCTTATTTTTCAAGCAGATTCGGAAATCTTCTTTTTTCTATTGAAGTTACGGAACTCTAAAAAGACACGCTGAGTTTCTTTCACCAATTCTTCTTTGGACGGAGGGATACTCTTTCTAAACTAATTATCAGTGACGTTCTACAAAGAAATTTCTAAGATTAGCCCAATGTTACCTAATTGTTTTGTTGTCTTCTGAATTACAAAACTTTATTTTTATATATATATTAGCGACTCACCCTCGCTCCGCTCGGGTTCGTCCCTATTGAAAATGTAGGTTTGTATGTATTTTTTAATGCCGAATCATAACAATTTTTTTTGGGGTGGACCACCCTTATCACTTAGGGGTATGAAAAATAGATAGTAGCCGATTCTCAGACCTACTGAATACGCATATAAAATTTGGTAAAAATCGGTAAAGCCGTTTCGGAAGAGTACGGTAACAAACATTGTGACATGGAAATTTTATATATAAGATATGTGAATAAATAATATGTTGGGACATTAACACACAGCATCATCTAGTTCCATGGTAAGCTACGAGGCCTGTGTTATGTATACCAGACAGTTGATACACTACACATATATAACTTTAAATAAGAACATATTATAAATATAACCATCCATGACTGGAGTACAAGCATTCGTGCTCATCACACAAATGAGTGCCCCCAGCGGGACTCAAACCCTGAAGTCTCGTACCCGCAAGTAGGGTCACTACAAACTGAACCAAACGTGTCGTCAGGTTAATGGAATGGAAAAATAGAAATTAACACTTGATTTAATAAATAAAAAAACATTACTCATACCTACCTGGCTGCTTTATTTACTTTTTTGGCTGTAAACAAAAGCAAATTTTTAGTTTGCACCTAAACTCAATTCCCATAGCAATTTCCCACCCTCTCAATGTCGTCTGTGAGTGCAACGTTTCGGTAATGCTCCGTGGAAAGACTTGGATATTTGAAATCCCCTGTGGATTTATTTTATTTTGTAGCGAGAAAAGTTTGTGAGAGCAAAAACGTCCCTAGTTGGTACTTAGATAATATGGCTTTAGATATTTTGCAGTGACACACTTCCTATTTGAAACCAACCTTAGAAATTTTGATAATAATTTGTAGGTACTATATCACAGTTATATGTGTAATGACAAAGAAATATATATAATATACTTACATTTTAACGTTTAGTATAGATTCCTCAGAGATGAGATATTTTCCCGCAGTAAAATGTATCCTATATTTTGACTCGGAAAACTGGCTATCATGGTACCAAATTTCATCAAAATTTTTCCAGTGGTTTCCTCATGATACGTTCCCAGACAGACATAAAGACAGACAAACAGACAAAAATTCTATACAGTGTAGATTCGATCTCCGTATCGATAATAATGACGCTTTCAATATGAATTTCCAAAAAATATTTAATATACAGATTCGACTCAGAATGTTATAATATGTGTAAATCAACACTTCAAATAAACATTACCTATCATATTATAGTAGCATCAACTCTGCTATATTAAAGCTTCATAATAGGAGAAGCTCAAACCATGATCTACTTGTAGTAAATGATAATTTGACTGACATGATTCACAGACATGCGAGTAAATAATATAGGAATAATGCATTTTTAAATTCAATCCCATTAATATTATAAATGCGGAAGTTTGAATGAATGAATGTTTGTTACTCAATCACGCCAGAACGGCTGAACGGGTCTAGATGAAATTTGGTATAGAAATAGATTATAGTCTGGAATAGCACATAGGTTTTTTTTGAGTTATTTCGGAAAATGTACCGTTCCCGTGGGATAGATTTGTTTTTTTTTTCACTAAAGACGAACCCGAGCGAAGGGAACTCACTCTGAGTTGCTAGTATTTAATATTCGAAAAATGTTTTCACTTTATTGCATGTGTAAATAATAATAAAAACATACTTTTAAAGACTCATTTATTAAACAATTAAGAACAGAAAAAACTTAACCAATGAAAATCATTTATATTTCCAGGCTTCAAGATTTCCGATGCATCTGGTGTAGGAAATGCGTGCACGCGAGCTGTAGACCAAGTTGGAGAGCGACATGTCTGCTAGGTCCCGCTCGGGCATCTGTTGTACCACCAACCCGCTTGCACTCTGTAGGCCCTGACGATGGCTGGCTCCCGGATAGACCACCCAATGCTTCTCCACTCATCGTCTTTGTTAATTCGCGATCTGGTAGGTTGCTTTTAAGTATTTAATAGTATAGTACTCTATGTTATTGGGTCATCTTTCCTCGTATTATGCGGTGTAATTAGTTTTTTTTTAATTAGGTCACCTATGATCTAAAAAAACAAATAAGCTAACAAAGAGGCGGTCTGTAAATCTCGTTTATTTCTCACTGTGTGCAACATTTATCATCCTATTTCTATATTAAAACAGGCGACAACCAGGGTGTGAAGTTTTTACGTCGGTTCAAGCAACTTCTAAATCCCGCGCAAGTGTTTGAACTGAGCGGCGCCGGCCCTCGACTTGGATTGAGGCTGTTCAAGCACTTCGCGCCGCTACGAGTGCTCGTGTGTAGTGGCGACGGGTCTGTGGGATGGGTCTTGCAAGAGGTCGATAAGCTGGATATGCATGTGCGTAGAATACGTGTTTATTTATAACTACCTGACGTTGAACAGATGTTGTCCTACTAAAGTTTCAGTTTTGTGTGTGGGCTTGGAGTTCATACAAAAATTTCAGTTAGTTTCAGTTTATTCCGAGTTTCCCAATTTTTGGACAGTTTTTCCAATTTTTGTTCCGTAAGATTCTTGTAAAAAAAAACTATTATCAAAATTGATGCAGTTATATATACTCAAGTAATGAGCTTACAATTCATACAGCATTTAATTTTAATTTATATACAGCAATAATACGTTAACTTTTGCTAGTTTTATATATTGAATTATTAATGACTGTTTTGTTAAAGACAATTAAAATAATCAGTGTAGTTTGTTTATTATCCGTACAACTTTATTTCATGGAATTCGGTAAAGCCATCCTTGAAATATATGCATCTAAACATATAGAATTTATCAGCTTACCTATAATAATTAATTTCTTTCCAAATATTTCTTTCAACTTCATTATTTTGACTATACTATTTTCCTATTCCCATTAGTAGCACAATGGTGACGCGCTCGCTTGGGAAACCCAATGAATCGGGTTCAAATCCTGGCTATCGCACCTCTGATATTTTTATGTGCGAATCATTTCCAACATGATTATCATTTGTCGTACAGTGAAAGAAAACATATGAGGAAATCTGCATGTCTGAGTAAACCTGGCAAGTATTTGAAGGACTTGACCAGCGTGATGGATTATGGTCTGAACCCCTTGGTCATAAAAGGAGACCCGGGCCTAGCATTGGGACGTTAAAAAGAGCTGAAGACGATTATCCTATTAATATTTTACAGTAATGCAGATATCTTCTATACATATAATAAAATTGTAACTAAGCCGAATCTGTACATTAAATATCTTTTGGGAAATCTTATTGAAATATACATTATTATCGATACAGAGGCCGAATCTATAGTTTTTAGAATCTTTGTCTGTCTGTCTGTGTCTGTCTGTCTGTTACCGCATCACAGAAAAACCACTGGAGGGATTTTGATGAAATTTGGTATGGTGATAGCTGGTTATCCGGGTCAATATATAGAATACTTTTTACCGCGGGAAAATGTCCAATTTCTAAGAAAAAATACAAAAACTGCAATGTAAGAGTATACTAATATGTAAAACCTAAGAACTTGGTTTTTGGTCATCTGAACGCGGGCGGAGCCGCGGGAAATTCTAATTATTATATAAATATGTGTCCTGTGTCAACAGCGTCAAGTTCAAACGGCAGTCCTTCCCCTGGGAACAGGCAACGATCTTGCTCGCGTATTAGGCTGGGGCGCGTCTTGTGACGACGCGGCCAACTTACAACAGCTATTGGAGCGATATGAACGAGCTTCCACGAAAATGTTAGATCGGTGAGTTATTCTATATAATTTCTATGTAGTTGTATGTAGAATATACATATATGAATTTCCCATTAAATATATAATGCATAACTCATAAGGTATAAAAGTGGCAAAATTCCGAATAAGAACATACTCGTAAATTCACATTTTGGTTGATATATGTATATATTTCAATATAATATATGTAAATAGCTAGATAATCGTAATGCCCGATAACGAAAAATAAAAAAAAATGTGGTAGTACATCTTGTAATTAGGGGATGAAAAAAATTTAAACACGTGGAATTTTAAACAAGTTTTACAATATTTTTAATTTTATTTTCACAGTTGGTCAATAATGACGTTTGAGCGTGCGTTAACAGCGCCGCCGCCGCCACCCGCACCGCCTGATCTCGAGGAGAGGTCTCTGCTTAAAAACTTACAAGAGATCGTTCAGGTTTGCTTTCATAAATTTAATTTCTTCCAATCTATCTATTTGTATTATTCATAATTTTGATTTGATTGCAAACAACAAGCTCAAATATTGGATATATTTTCAGCGGAGTTATTAAGTAATTAATAATTATTTTAAAACTAAAAAAAAATCAGAGATGAGTATTTTCCCGCAGTAAAAAGATGTTGACACGGGTAACCAGCTATCATCATACCAAATTTCATCATAATCTGTCCAGTGGTTTTCTCGTGATGTGTTCCTAGACAGGCAGACAGACCTATAAAAATTATAAAAAAAACTATAGGTTCGGCCTCTGTATCGACAATTTCAATAAGATTTTCCAAATAATATTTAATGTAATAATTTGATTCAATTAGAATTTTATTATAGATATGTATGTATAGATTATTATATTAATAAGTATTAAAATAAAAATGAGATAATAACTGTAGGCAGACGAGAGCGGCGAGGAGGCGTCGCGGAGCGCGCGCGCGGCGCTGCGGGCGGGCTGCGCGCGGCTGGCGGCGGCGGGCGAGCGCGCGGGCGGCGGCGCGGCGCGCGCGGCGCATCGCCTGCGCCGCGCGCTGTCGCTGCTGCTGCACGCGCGCGCGCACCTCGCGCACGACCACGCCAGATGCGAGTTAGTGTACTATTGTCTATAATACTCATATTATAAAGAAGTAAAGTTTGTGACGTTGTGAGGTTGTAGGGGGTAATCTCTGGATCCACTGAACCGATTTAGATGAAATTTGATAAGAAGATAGTCTGAGACCCTGGTAAGGACATAGGTTACTTTTTATCCTGAAAAACATCCCTTAAAGGAGTGAAAATGGGGATGAAAAATTGTATGAGGAATCGAGCTACGGACGAACCCGAGCGAAACGACTGTGAGTCGCTATTATTATATATTTATAATACTACTAGCAGAACCTGCGGCTTCGCTCGCGCTAAAACTATAAAAAAAACTAATAATGTAAGTTTCATACAAACTTTCATTCCCTATTTCACCCCCTTATGGAATGAATTTCAAAAAAATGCTAAAACACTTATCTAAGTATATAATCATATTGAAGAGCATTAATATCAAGTTTCAAGCCTATGTCTCTGTCCAGCCTCCTCAACTATCTCCACACAAAAAATCACGCCAATCCGTCACTCTGTTTTGTAAAGTGTTGGAAATCTGTTCAGGCTAGAACAAAGAAGAGAAGAATTTTGGACTGCCGACCTTCAGTATATTTTATAAAAGATGCTACGCCATTGGTTAAATGTCGTAGTCTAATATTTATTCGACGCTAGTTTCATACCACTTCTCCAGTATTTTTCTTCTAGATTTATTCAAATTTCTTGGTGTGTTTTTTTGTGGTCAAACGAAACCTTCCAAAAATCCGAAAAAACGGATAACCGTATTTATAAAATTTTAAAATCACACAATATGTAACTCAGGCATATGTGTATTGAAGTAAATTTTCAAAATTTGTTCATAGGACGTGGGAGCCTCTTGATACTAGCGACAGTGAGCCTGAAGCACAACAAGCTGTTGAAAAAGGCAGCATTGAAAAGACTGAAAAGGTATATTCTGATAGGAACATACCTATAGTTAGCATTAACAACACTTACATTATGTTTTAAGACTATTGTAGAAAAGGTGAAAATAGAGTTTTATAGAGAATTTGATTCCGAATTAAGTCAGAATATTTGAGACAATAAAAAGATAATTCTGAGCAACTAAGTCTAGACTAAAGGCAGTGGTAGCCCAGTGGTAACGCGCTCGCTTGGGACACCGAGTGAATCAGTTCAAATCCCGGGTCTCGCACCTCTGATATTTTCATGTGCGAATCATTTCTAACATGATTACCGCTTACCTTACGGTGAAGGAAAACATTGTGAGGAAACCTGCATGTCTGAAAAAACCTAGCAAGTTTTCGAAAGACATGTGAAGTCCGCCAACCCGCACTTGGCCAGCGTGGAGGACTATGGCCTGATCCCCCTCGTATTGAAGGGAGGCCCGTGCCCAGCAGTGGGACGTTTAAAAGGTCTGAATATAAGTCTAGAACTACTAACAACGTCATCAAACTACACAAAATTCAACATTTCTTTTAATCACAGATCGTTTCATAATTTACCCATAAGAAAAATGTGTTCTTGTGAGTAGGTATTCCAGGCCGTAAGAGAGTCTAATAATGATTTTTCACATTATAATTATATCGTACTGAAAGTAATTATTGCATATAAATAGAAAAAAAAAACATATAATCTACTCGGTCCAGGAACTATCCCTCTGCGAGGAATCAAGTTAGTCCGATGCAGCGTGGAATAACATTACCTTTTAGGAAAAATCCACAAATCGACTTGAAATTCCAAAAATCGAGTAGAATCTATCAACATTCATAGTTTATAGAACTAACAAGTCGTAGAAAAACAATATAATAAGGTACATAATCCTAGTTAATAATAATAATAAATATGTTAGGACATTAACACACAGCACCATCTAGTTCCATGGTAAGCTACGAGACTTGTGTTATGGATATCAGATAGTTTATTCACTACACATATATAACTTTAAATACATACTTACATATAAATATAAATACCCATGACTGGAGTATGAACATTCGTGCTCATCGCACGAACGAATGCTCCCAGTTGGACTCGAACCCGCGACCGCTGGCACAGCAAGTAGGGTCACTACTAACTGAGTTAAACGTGTCGTCAAAACCTAGTTGTTTTAAGAAGCTACGCCTGTAACATGAGCCGGTGCCCCGCAGGAGCAGCTGAACTGGGCGGCGCGCGGCTGCGCGCTGGCGGGCCGCGCCGACAGTCTGCGCCGCGCCCTGCGCGCGCTCGTGCGCACGCTCGTACTGCTCTACCCACAGGTATGGCTATAATACGATATATTTTATAATATTTAATAATTAAAAACTTAACTATGATAAATTTCAAATATCATATTTTAAATGCTACCGCACTTATGAAGACGGTAATAGTATCATATCAAATGTTAATATACATCGACAGGTTTAGATTACGAATCGTTAAAAAACTAAGTTAGTAAACGTTAATTAACTAAGTGTTGAAAGGCTACGATGATTATTTAAAAGTAAAAAATTACCGCAAAAAAACTTATAAAGTATGCATATAGGTCATAAAATGACTATAACTATGTGTATAGAGTATACTAAAAGATAATTTAATTAAACGCCTGGAAAATACCACAATTTTAAATATTGGGAAATTAAAGATATCATACACATTTCACTTGTAGTATATGTAATGTTTTCCGATGATTCCAAAAAGGGAATGTTTTTGGATATAAATTTCTTTGGTATGTACTATACCATGCATACTTTATAAGTTTTTTTGCGGTAATTTTTTACTTTTAAATAATCATCGTAGCCTTTCAACACTGTTCATACTCGTGACGTTTATTAACAAAATCTTCAATGCAAATAGATAACTGAAGGAATTTTAAATGAATAGTGCATTATGTTAGTTAAATAAATCCCGTATATAATTAGGGCGTGTCGCAAGAGCGGTCGCGCGAGGCGGCGGCGGACGCGCTGCCGGTGCCGCGCGCCTTCGCCGACAGCCGCCGCTCCTCCGCCGTGTCTGCCGCCTCCATGCAGCCTGATAAGTGCGTATTTGTTTAGAATAGAAAAAATATCTTTTAGTTATCAATATAATCAATTAGTGTAATAGTTTTATATCATGCAAGTAGAAGCCGCGGCTTCGCCCGCTTTCAATCTACAAAAAAACTCTTTGGATTTATGTTATACAGCGACTCACTTCATCGCTATGTATTTATATAATATTGTTCATACAAAAATACTAAAATCGCGATTAAAAAATCGGGGTGTGGAAGTAGGAGGGTGACAAATAATTTACGAGCTATTCTCATACCTACTAAATAAACAAAAAAAAATATTAATATCTGTCGAGTCGTTTAGGAGTGCGACCACCAACACCGTGACACAAGATATTTATATATTAGATTAGCGGCTGATTTTGCTATGGACCCTAATGTTAGTGTGAAGTGTTACTTCACGTCATAGTATATTTGTGTGCTAAATTTTATCCAAATTGGTCCAGCCCTTGTAGTATAAAGAAGTAACTAACATACAATTATATACGTATAAAATTTTCGTATTTATAATATTATTATTAAAAATATTCAACACCTCATTAATAGGTGACAGTGAACGATTTTCAAGTGAAATAATTGCAAATAAAGTTACGTTAAAGCCAATTACTAGTAATAAATTTCATTTCTTTGATCTAAATTAGGGATATTTTTAAACAATTTTATTAAAAAAAAGTAAATGCCTAACTTGATAACAATTGAACTTATGTAAATTATTTCTTTACAGCATTCCAGATGTAGATGAAGACATAGCTAAATTAATAAGTTCAAACCCACCAGAAAATACAGATAATCTAGAAGTTGACAAGCGCGAGCGAAGTAAAACTAGTTCCATTACGCCTCAAGAGCGTCTTTCACCTTCAATCATCTCTTCCTGTGATACTAGCTCATGCAAAAACCTCTTAAGGCCTGATATAGAAATAACAAGCAGTACGTTTAACAGTAGCAGCCTGACCATACCCAACTTAGTCGTCTCAGATGATAGTGACAAGAAATCATTAATACAGGGTGAAACTTACGAATCGGACCAATTGACTATAATAGACATCGACAAACCGTACACAGTATGTGATGAAGTTCATTTCAACGAGCTTAGTGAAAGAGCCACGCCAGGTAGTGGCGAATGTACGCCCGAAAGAAAACTATCTAGCGTTGATTTAGAAATGGATGCGACCAGCTCAGAAGGATCAAATATTAGCGATGATTTTAGTTTAATGTCGGAAATTATAGATACAAAACCTGGTGACTTGGAAGAGGGTTGTGGAATAGGACATATTGATTCTCCGGAGATATCGGAAACTACGTATATGAACTCAGAAACACTACATGGAGAATCCATTATGGATGACATTAGCTCGATGTTGGGACAAGAAGTTTTGTTGGCAATGATGGGTAAAAATGGTGAAAATGAAACGTATACTGATGATACAACACTCTTCACATCGGATACAGTATCGGATATACCAATGGATAGTAGACACCAAAGCTTAGAAAAGAAAAATGACGGGAAAACTAAATACATATCTAAAATCAAGAAGCCCACTGAAGCAGATGTCGAAAAATTTGGCTACGAAAACCGAGTCTTCTATATTGAAAATGCAACAAAGAACGAGGGCCAAATAAAGTATTGTAGTTTAGCGCAATTCGAAGAAGGCAGTGATATTGCTCGTAAATCATTTAAAAAACAATTACGTAAGAGTATGAAAAAAAGAGCTCCAGATGATACTGGAATTAAGCATCTCTTGCCCAAAACTACTGAAGAACTCTCCCCTCTAAGTGATGAATCTCCAAACACAGCCATTCACAGTCCTCCACAACTTATAGTTCCACCCATGAACGAAGAAAAGAAACTTAATTTAAAAGAACCAATGCCAACATTTCCTCAAGTAAGCGTAGTTGTAGAACCTCCATCACCGTCACACAGTGAAGACAGAAGCATAAAAACTTGCCATAGTCGGATGGCTTCGGTACTTAGTGATATTTATGACCAAGGAACAGATACATTAAGTGTTTATTCTCCAGAACCAAATATTAGAGATAGGGAAAGAAGGCAGTCAGATAATCCTAGATTGTTAGGATCCGATCCAGAATACGGACGGTTTTTGAGTTGCTCCCCAGCAGCGACTAGGCGGATATCGTGCGGGAGCCTCTTTAAACCTGGTGAACCTGATAAGTAAGTTGTTTTGTAAAACAATCATATTAAATTTGAATCTATCTTATAATCCATTGACTAAGTTACCAAAAATATCTATCTACCTGCAAAATATTTTGTGGCATTTATAAATTCTGAAATTTCCTGATATTATAGTTATAAATATTTCTGACGTTTAATAAATATTATCTTTGAATTTTTTTAAGCAGGTTATCGACATCGGTATCATCGATATGGGGGGAAGGAGGCACAGTGGGCGGTGGTGGGAGCATGAGTAAATCAGAAACCAGCGAGCGAGCTAAAAAGCTTCCTATAATCAATCCATTAGTCCAATTACCTGCGTGGCCTCACGTCACCCAAGGCTTTATTAGCCAATGTCTCCTAGCCAATGCAGATGCACTATGTGCTGCAGTCAGTCCATTGATGGATCCAGATGAAACACTTCTAGAGGGCTTCTATGAAAGAGCGGTAATGAACAATTACTTCGGAATCGGCATCGACGCAAAGATCACTTTAGATTTTCACAACAAAAGAGAAGAACATCCAGAGAAATGTCGGTCGAGAGCGAGGAATTATATGTGGTATGGAGTGCTTGGATCGAAAGAGTGGGTGAATAGGACTTATAGGTAAGCATTTTTACTAAATTTATTAGTAATACTACCAGTCAAATGCAAAAAAAAACATACCATAAACCGTGTTATTTAAAAAGACTTGTTTATATTGAAATAAACTTTTAATCATTAAATTAGCATCTATCCAAAATTTCACAATATTGATCAGTAAGATTCATTTTCATTATCATCTCCATGCACCTTTCCCAATCACTTGGGGTCGGTGCAGTAGAGACTACGAACTCGAAAAGATATTGTACTTTTTTGTTTTAATTTTAATAAAATAATCAATTTTATCAACATGACAGAATTTATTATGTAGTATACGTTAACAACTTAAGTTTAGTCGTTAATTTTAGCTTTATTGAAAAGTATAACTATCTTTATATATATAATTCTTCTGTGAGTGTGTATGTCACTGAACTTCTCTCAAACGACTGGACCGATTTTGATGAAATTTTTTGTGTGTGTTCAAGGGGATCTGGGAATGGTTTAGATTCACAATTTGAATAATAATTTTCATCAAATTATACACGTGTAGACAGGACAACGTCTGTCGGGTCCGCTAGTAACTATATATGACTTTAAATAAATACTACATTAGTATGGTACTATTCTCTTTATAAATAGTCCACAAATCAAAAATAACAATTGATATATGTATAATGTTAAATGCTATACATATTATTATTTTATCAATTTTCAGACATCTCGGGCAACGTGTGCAGTTAGAATGCGACGGCCAAAGAATACCTCTCCCAGAGTTGCAGGGCATTGTGGTATTAAACATATCCTCTTTTATGGGAGGCACCAACTTCTGGGGAGGAACACGAGGAGATGATTTATTTCTGGCACCCTCTTTTGATGATCGGATCCTTGAAGTGAGTAGCATTATTTGCTTTATACCCTTTTAATTTAAGAATGATAATGAAGTATAATTTTGTAATATAAGACTTTTTTATTCAAATTAAATAGAATAGATTTCGTCTTATTTTTTAAATTTAATGAGCATTGAAGTTGTAGAATTAGATATTATCTGTTTTCTCGCGAAATAAAAACATACTTATGGCCAACTCACATTTTCAGAGCATGTATGAGTTAAGCGGATTCAAATCCCGGGTTTCACACCTTTCATATTTTCATGTACGAATCATTTTCAAAATGATTACTACTTGTCTTACGGTGAAAGAAAACATCGAGAGGAAACCTGCATATCTGAGAGAACCTAGCAAGTTTTCGAAAGACTTGCTCAGTCCATTAACCCGCACTTGGCCAGCGTGGTGGACTATGGCCTGATCCCTCTCGTATTGAAGGGAGGCCCATGCCCAGCAGTGGGACGTTGAAAAGGACTGAATATATAATTATTATATTTTAAGTATAATTCCAACGCAGGTGGTGGCGGTGTTCGGCTCGGCGCAGATGGCGGCGTCGCGTCTCATCAACCTGCAGAAGCACCGCATCGCGCAGTGCCGCGCCGTGCAGATCAACATACTGGGCGAGGAATGCGTGCCCGTTCAGGTGAGATATATAATAATAATAAATAAATAAATATGTTGGGACATTAACAATTAATATTATGTATATGTATGCTTATGTATATATATTAAAAATATATATGGTAAAACTAGTATTTTATATATGTAAATTACGTTTATTTATATTAAGTTTTAATGATTTGCACTTTATGCACTTTTCCGCTCTTCTCACTTATTTTCTTATATTTTTTTCTATCGGTTGCCTGTAAGAGATTACTTGTAGTGATAATGCCGCCATTGCGCATCTCTTTAATTGTATTTTTTTATGTTAATGTACTATTTACGTGTGCAATAAAGTGTTATAAATAAATAAAATAAATATCACACAGCACCATCTAGTTCCATGGTAAGCTACGAGACTTGTGTTTTGGATACCGGATAGTTGATACACTACAAGTATATAACTTTAAATAGGTGACTGGAATAGAGATTTTACTTGTGTCTGCGCGTACACTTGTGCACTATAATATCTCCTGCGCATCTGGCTAGTCTCATTGAGATTGGCTGTCGTGGCCGGAATCGGTCGGCAGGACATCATTATGGTACGTATAATATTTGTTGATGTATGTATAATGTAATTATAATAAAATGTATTGCAGGTGGACGGCGAGGCGTGGCTGCAGCCGCCCGGCTGCGTGCGCATCATACACAAGAACCGCGCGCAAATGCTGTGCAGGTCCAGAGCGCTCGAAACTAGCTTGAGGTGAGTGATGTTTCTTTAAAACTTCAGCATTGTGTTATTAATAGCTTAATTATTACTTAAGAAACAGAAACAAATCTATCCCACGGGAACTGTACTTTTTTCCGGGACTAAAAGGCCTATGTGCCATTCTCTGTGCCAAATTTCATCCAGCTCCGTTCAGCCGTTCTCGCGTGATTGAGTTACAAACATCCAAATATCCAAACTTTCACATTTATAATATTAGTAAGATTTCCATTTGTTTCTTATTTTTGACTAGCAGCTTATTTTTACTTTGCTCTGATACGTCCTTAGGAACCTTTTGTATTTATAATATTATATATAGACAACAGACAACAGGCAGTGGTAGCCTAGTGGTAACGCGCTCGCTTGGGAAACCGAGTGAAGCTGGTTCAAATCCCGGGTCTCGCACCTCTGATATTCTCATTTGCGAATCGTTTCTGACATGATTACCACTTGCCTTACGGTAAAGGAAAGCATCGTGAGGAAACCTGCATATCTGAGAGAACCTAGCAAATTTTCGAAAGACATGTGAAGTCCGCCAACCCACACTTGGCCAGCATGGTGGACTACGGCCTGATTCCCCTCGTATTGAAGGGAGGCCCATGCCCAGCAGTGGGACGTTAAAAAGGGCTGAATACACATACATACAATTCATTGCTACAACGCGATTTATATGGACAGCAACGACACATGAATTTCACTGAGCATAATATTATTAACATAATTTCAACGCAAGTGTACTGAGCAATCTTCTCTCTCCGCAATTACGTTATTTAAACCTAAGTTTTAATATAATGCTTCGATCAACAATACTACTAGATAACGTGTCACATACAAAATCAAAGATAAATTCTGTCCGCGCGAATATGTACATTTAAAACTACATTTGTATACTAACGAACCAAGACGAACTCTTATAATAGTTTTATTTTCAAGCTAATCAACACCATAGCACCTTGTAATAAAGTCACAAATCTTCAAATTATCATCATACACTTACGATTATTTCGTTTTATAATCTTTATTGTAAAATCAACCTTATATCAAAAAAACTCAAAGCACTTTTTTCTGTTGTTGCTTTGTGATCTATATCGTTTTTTTGTTTCTATTTGCTTCTTAGAATTTGCGCCTGTATTGGCCGACCTGGGCCAACGTTCTTAGCAGATTTAAAATTGTTCAAAATTTCATTTTTATATTATTTCGTAGGTTAAATCTTAAAACATTTACATAATCTACATGTATTTACCAAAAATAAGTCATTCCATTTGAAAAATTTCTTCTTCGTGCATTATATTTGTAACTTTTAACTACATTTTGCGGCATTGTGAACGCGTTTACGTTGGCAGTGTTTCAATAGAACTAATCGAAATATAAGCTCACTTTATGAGCTTATATTTACCAAGACGGATTTCTTACCTCTACACGATATCTAGTAGTATTGTTGATCGAAGATATAATGGCATGATATCGAAACAGTTAAGCGTGTAGCGTTCATGTATCATCAGTTTTGGCCACAGAGCGTGGGATGAGAAGCAGCAGCAGAAGGCGCACGCGGCGGCGCCCGCGCGCACGCTGTCGCAGGCGGAGGCCGCGCACCTGCTCGTGTTGCTGGACGATGTTAACACTATTGTTAAGCATGTCAGTTTGTTTTTGTATTTATTTATTTATATGTATATTTATGTGTATAGATATTAGATATTAATGTTTGTTTGTGATTTTATAACATACGTATATACCTATATATGTATGTACGGATTTGTATTTAAGAGGTATGTATATATACATATACGAACTAGATGGAAAGTGTTTGATATAGTTCTTAGAGAGATAAATGAACATGTAGTAATTATATATTAAGGTTATATGTCTTGAGTCTGATTATGCAGCTTGGAAGCAATCGTAGACAATCATGAATTACATCATTACAAACATAATATAACATAAACATTTTGAGAAAATAAGCTACCTGTATCATATCTTCTACGTGTTCACCTGAACCCAGGGTAAGGAAATAATGGCTTACCACTTACGTACTTAGGTAATAAATTAAAGCTTAGTTTAATTTTAACCGACTTCTCAAAACAGGAGGAAGTCCTCAGTTTGTCGCTTTTTTTATATGTATGTTCATGGAGTACTCGAAGACGCCTGAACCGATTTGGAAAATTCTCTTTTTTGCTTCCAACGTAAACTTCCCATTTAAATTTTATCAAAATGACCGAGTGGTTTTTAAAAAATTATCAATAAATTATTTTTAAGTAAATGGCTTAATCGAATATGTTATAAATTATTATTAAAAACCTTTTTCTCACAAATAACCTGCTTGTTACGTCTACACTAGAAATGAAAATATAAAAACCTGTTTTTATTTTTTGGTATTTTTTTTACGTAAACTTATGTGCTTAAAAAGAATAATGACTAAGTATTATTTAAGATTGTCGTAAACTAGCGATGGCTTGATTCCCACTACAAACTTTCATCCCCATTTTCACCCTCTTAAGGCATGATTTCTGGGATAAAAAGTATCCTATGTCCTTCTCAGGGTGTCAAATTATCTTCTTACCAAATTTTATCTTTATCGGTTTTGTAGTTTCGGAGCCTATTCGATGCAAACAAACAAAAAAAAACTTTTTCTCTTTATAATATTAGTATAGATAAATATTTAGTTCTCACAATTCTCCTCTACACAGGTGAAGCTGGCGTGTATAAGCTCGAGCGGTGAGTGCGCGGGCGCGGGCGCGGGCGGCGGCGCGCTGGCGACGGCGCGGCGCGCGGCGGCGCAGGCCGACGCGCTGCAGGACGCGGAGGGCCGCCTGCTGCCGCCGCCGCAGCTGCGACGCCTGCTCGCTAGTCTGGTGAGATTTGTTTTGTTACTTGAGCTATATAAGCTCGCGCTAAAACTACAAAAAAAATCTCTAAAAAGGTAGGTTTTATACAACTTTTATCCCCTATTACACCCCCTTGAGAGTTGAATTTTGAAAAATCCTTCCTTAGTGGATGCCTTCGTCATATGAGGAATACGTGTGCGAAATTTCAATTTTCTAGCCTTAACGGTTTGACCTGTGCGTTGTTACATCAGTCAATCACTTTTTCCTTTTTAGCCTGTTAGGGATTCGAATTTTTATTTAATAACGAAACAAATATTAGATTGGTGAGTACATCACTCTAATGAAATTGGTTTTTTGGGTCAACTCATTTACATAGTTATTTAATGGCCTTGACCGTTTAACGGTTAGCATGTAAAGTAGATCAGTAGGTTCTAGGCAAGGTAATAACTTATTATTTATTCGTAGGTTCTAGTATGACCTATACTTATTTGAATTCTAGTAGGACCTATATATGAGTTCTAATAGGACCTATATAGCTCCCGGGGGAGAAGCCAACTCCTACCGGGCGCGTCCCCAGGTGGCGGATAGGGGAATGCCACCCGCTTAGGGCGGCGGGTGGTACCGGAGAAATCCGGCGCGGACCAAATGGCTTGGGTGGGGCCGCTCGTCTAGGACTCGAGCCGAAGACGTTGCGGCCACCGGTGGTGGGACCGCTTGGTCCCACAACCGGATGATGGGTGCCGGTTGCGGGACTGTGGTCGCAGGCCCGCATCCGGCGGAGGAGTAGGCCGCGGCGGGAGAGGAGTGCCGGTATTTCGGTGCGCCGTTCTCCCTACCTTCCGCGGCCTAGACGGGGCCGCCACCGTTAGATGGCGGACGCGGTGGGGCTGCAGGGGAAGAGGAGTGTCGGTGTTTCGTTGCCGCTCTCCCTGTCCTCTGCAGCCGATTGGAGGTGGCCCACTTCGGTGGGTGGTGGTTATGTTTAATGGGGCTGCTCCGGGTACCTCTCTGGCGTAGCAGAGTTGACTGTGGAGCAGCCCCATTGGTTTGGTGGTGGTCTGCCTTTTTAGGCAGACCTGCCGCCGGGGCGCCGTAGTAGTTATGCGCAAGCGATCCTGCGGCGTCCCATTAAGGCGGAGGGGAGGGGAATGTCGGGTTTTAGTGGGTAGTACCGGCTCTTCTAGCCGGTGAGCCCCACATCACCACCTGGGGGTTCAGGTGGTATGCGTAAATGCATTTCCCGACATAAAAAAAAAAAAAAAAAAAAAAGGACCTATATAGCAACTGGGTCTTTCTGTCACGAAATAGTCTGACAGTAGGCTGTACTTGCAATCTAATGTCTCGAAGAACACGTCTAGTTATCGGTCCTGTGCTTGTTCTTCCACCGGTCGATTTGAGTTGTCATCCTACCCGATTGTGAGAGTTAAAAGAATAGGGGATATTTTGAACGGACACTCGTCTCAGTGCACTTGTGTCCAAACAACAAATTTACCGAAAGAGCTTTTACATATTATGTACAAAATTATCGACTTCTAAATATCAGTTCTATTGGTATAAAATACACATTTTACGTAAAATAAAACGAATAAATGAATTTTATCTATATATGTATCTATGTATATATACATATTAGGAATGAAGCATTGTTTTAAAAATAGAGGAGAGAAAACTGTTCATTGTAAAGCACAAAAGTATTGATGGTTTAAACAAGTAAGAGCACTAAGGTCGATGGGACTGACATTTTCGCCTTGTGCTTAAAAAGTCTCTAAATAAAAACAGAATAAAAAAGCACTAAGGTGAAGACTTGTGCACTATACTATATTTGGCCCTTAAATTGCCGTCGGAACCGATATCGATTTGGAGGTCATAATGATGGTTCTTCGATTATTTCTTATTATTAATGAATTTCATTTTGTTTCCTACACAGGTGGAAAGTTGCCACGAGCTGCTAGAGAGCGGCGCCAACCTTGGCGCGGCGGCGGGCGGCCTGCGCGCGCACCTCGCGCGCTGCCAGCTGCGCGACGGCCTCGCGTACATACAGGCAGAGGAGGTATATAAACTATATGTTATATTAAATAACTGCCTCGGTGGTGTAGTGGCTAGCATGTGGCTGCACATCCGGAGGTCCTGGGTTCGAATCCCAAGTTTCAAGTTTAGTTATTGAGCCTTTCTGTAAAGTAAGCCTCAGTAACAGCCCGGAGTTGGGAAGTTGGCAGTGTTTCACCCCCGTGCCTCGGAGAGCACCTAAAGCCGTCGGTCCTGCGCCGACACTTTCACCGGTCGTGTCAAACTGCCGTCCCACCGGAGTATGAGAGTGACAGGAATAGAGAGTGCACTTGTGTCTGCGCGTACACTTGTGCACTATAATATCTCCTGCGCAGTTGGCTAGTCTCAATGAGATTGGCCGCCGTGGCCGGAATCGGTCAGGAGAACACCATACTAAATATTTTACCTATTTTTAACTTGCCATACTAATCATCGATGTTAATAATATTTAAATAATAAAATTGCTTGAAACCATTTTGTTAGAAAAAATAATGGTTTGTAATGCAATGTATTAATTAAGTACGTCAGTATGTTTATTGATTGCACATTAAAATAGTAAATTATAAAAAATATATACCTAATACCAAAGAGATTTGTATGCAATGGTTACTTTATTAGTATGCGTTTATTATTATTAGAGAGTGGTAGATCACTGGTAACGCGGTAGCTTGGGAAACCGATTGGAGCGGGTTCGAATCCCGTGCCTCGCATAATATCGAATTGTTTGGTTTAATTAATACTATTTAGACATTCATGCCTCTCCTGAAACGCTCTGGAAAATTAAAACGTATTTGTCAATAATAAAAGATAGAGCCCTAATCAAAATCAAAGAGCTTTTTTTAATATTCCACTTAGTGTAATAGTCAGTCACTCCACAAGAAGACGCGGGTTCGAATCTCGCTCAAAGTAACTATATATTTTGACCATATCGTATGACTGTTAAGTTAATATGCATTTTGTTGATTCTATTGACAAATATATGTATATAATTATTAAAAAAATTAGACATATCTCATTGATTTTTAAACAATACAGTATCTAACAATTCCAAATTTTCATCATCTTCCAAACGACCCCTGCATTCTCCAGTCACAGCATTTAGTTCCGAAAACATATCGTAGAATATCTTTAGATGGCATCAAACGATATTACTAGACCGTTTCAAACGAAAATAACAAGCTACACCAACCTTTTATTATTATATGTATATAAATATTTACATCCAATATGTATCTCCAATTATATAATAGATCGACTTCTCATTCTCCCTATTATACCCTCCCCGACCTGACCATAGGTACCAAAGAAAGCCGGCAGCAGATGGCTTCGAGGCCGTCGGAGTGCATCCGAGGGAAGTGGTCAACAAACTGTCCAAGTTCGATCTTGGGGAGTAAAAGAAGTTCAAACTTGGCTGGAGAGTCTGGAACTTGGCGAGTATTCGGAGGATTTCGCCAAGCATGACGTCACCGGGAGGGAACTACTCTCCTTGGCCAGAAGGGACCTCAGGGACCTCGGAGTGACCAAGGTTGGGCATGTCAAGAGGATCCTTCAAGCGGTCAAAGAGCTACAGTGACGACGTCGCGGCCGTTCTGAGGGGAATGGCCATATATAGAGATGTGTCCTTTGAATGATGCTTGCGTATTATCAACACAAATATTTACGGAATCTTTGAAAGTACTTAATATTGATTGAATTGATGTCAAAATATTTTGAATATTTCCCTAGTAACGTATTGTGATGTGTATTCTAAGAAACTTCGACTTCAAATATTTTTTCATTTTTTAAATTATGATCTAAAACGATTTCATCGAAGCCCATAATTTAAAACGTTTCTCATACTACTTATAAATAATTTTAATAGTTTTTAAGATATCCACACATTTGCCAAACAGACACTACTCTATTTCAATTATAGCTAACTTATTAAAGAGATAAAGTCCATCGCTACAGACAAATAATCCGAATTTATAAAAAGAAACAACAGTATTAATAAAATTTTCTAAGAAATATCTTTTCTATGTAAATCTCTGTCTTTAATTTCAAAAGCGGTAAATTTTGTTTTTTTTTTTATACCAAAATGTACTCACTTATAATACGACATAATACAGTGTAGGTAGATTATTTAAATTTTATCTACACTATATATAATACTAGCGACTCACCCTCGCTTCGCTCGGGTTCGTCCCTAGGTTAAGTAGATACGTTTTAACGGTTAGTATGAAATACAAATCTTTGAATTTCTCGGCTTTTCTGTACTATAATATACATGTATTATACATATAAACCTTCGTCATGAATCACTCTATCTATTGCTGAAAACTGCATTAAAATCCGATGAGTAGTTTAAAAGATCTAAACGAACAAACAGCGGAAGCGACTTCTTTTTATACTATATAAAAATTATAAAGAGGTAAAGTTTGTGAGTTTGTATGTAATAGATCGACCGAAGCGAGTGTGAGTCGCTTGTTTTTAATAACAATATTTGTAAATGTCTTTGATCCATGATTGAATGTCAAAAAAAGAATAAGATTCAATGACCATATTTCTTTCATCTTCTAAATATTTAAAATTCTTAAATTAATAAGTACCTATATATTTTTTTATATTGACTTGAGTACATTTTGGTATAAAATGACCAATTACGATACCTACCGGTAACATCGAAGCTTCTACCTCTTCCGAGCTAAGTTCCTTCACCAACGAAATCTTTTATTCTTTACAGCTGTCTATATTGTGTTTTTTTTTAAATAAGACTATTTTCTACGAATTGTATCTATCGAAAAATATGAATCTTAATGTAAAAATATGATATGATTATATTATATATAATATACGGTTGAAAACGGACGTAAAATTTTAAAGTTGTGCTAAAATAAGTTGTGAGAGGAAAACTTAAAGCGATTTCCATCGAGTAATCGAATAAATAGGGATCAGAAAGGCGAATTTACTAGGTATTTACCTACTTTTAACTTACCATACTAATCATCGATGTTAATAATATTTAAATAATAAAATTGCTTAAAACAATTTTGTCAGAAAAAAAATAAACGTTTGTAATGTAATTGAAGCAGGCAACATTGCCTTTATTTTTATTTTTTTGTAGATGGCATCACTAAGCAATAAATGTAACAATCCATAGAGAAATTAGCTAACTTTTCTGATTCGAATTCATTAGGAATTGACTTAATAATGAATCTAGACCATTTTACCTGTTGAAATAGAAAAATAGTGTTTACCAGTTATTTCAAATATTAATACAATAGTTTTGGCCTTTTCAATAATATCTGAACTTTTTAAGCGTTTCCTAAGACTATATTTACTGACAGTTAAAAAAACTTTTACTATTCTTAATTAAAACGATTGTAGATTAAACAAATTGACTTAAGCATTTTTATTAGATTTACAGTATTGTATCCCTTTCATTTAATAGAGCTTCTGCAGAAACAAACCAGTAAGCCTCGTAATAATTAATTTATTAAGCTCAGGCTTTGGTTATTTTAGAATTGCAGAATTATAGACATTTAAATTTTATACTCTTGCCCTATCCAAAGTTAATATTATCAAGAAATTCAATATTATAGGTATGTTAGTCGAATAGTAGGTATAACAATGTACTCTTTAGATAGGCTAGGAAACTTAATGAATCTGTCGTACTGGATTCAATCCTCCATAGACGAATATTGAAGTAAGAAATAGTGATGTATTTCCAAAATTATCAAATCTGTCTGTTTCAATCTTTTTCCAATTAATTCAAAGTTTGATAAGCTAAACCTCAGACTAACAAAAAGAAAACGTAGCGTATAGAACATAGAACTGACGCCAAACTATGTTGTTTCGAATCCATTCATCGCGAGAATTGTTGTATTCTTAGTATACAAAGAGATGACGATACGTTTAGCTCAGTTTGTAGTGACCCTACTTGTTGTGTCGGCGGTCGCGGGTTTGAGTCCCGCTGGGGGCATTCATTTGTGTTATGAGCACGATTGTTTGTACTCCAGTCATGGGTGTTTATATTTATAGTATGTATGTATTTAAAGTTATATATGTGTAGTGTATTAAGTATCTGGAATCCATAACACGGGCCACAAGGCTACGAAACTTAACATGGAACTAGATGGTGATGTGTGTTTAATATCCCAATATATTTAAATATTTATTGTTTATTTATAAGACAATTTCAGGCTTCAATCACAATGTTCATTACGCTCCGTCTATTTTTGTTACTTAATTTTAAAAGTTTCTTATCTAAATTCTTTTATGGAGGACTTCAGTGTAATACGGTAGTTCGTTTTGATAGTGACCGTTAGACAATCACTTGTAGGTGTCTTAATCTCAATTTAATATTCTAAATAATATATGCAATTTCATTACGTTCGGATCGATACGTGATGGTTCTGCATGGATTTATAAATTCTCTTTTTTATATAAAATGTGATCTCTCGTGTTTATATCTAGATGTAAAGTGACCGCGTCGGTAAATCAAAATGTATGTATAAAATCTCATCTGAATATTAATGAATATTGTCTATACCCCTAACATTTTCCGTCGCGGTCTCTCCTTAAAGGACCTGCCTTATAGGTGTTTTTATAAATGTACCTCCGAGTTATTTCTATTATACGTACTCATATGAAAGAGTGCGTGTAAACTTATATTTATATATAATATTTATATTAGTCCTAACTCATCTAGAACTTACTCTGCCGTGAATCACGGCGTCATTGCCTTAGAACTCTTAGACCTATTTTAATATTAAATATACCTATTACTTATATTAAATATTGATATTATTTCTCCATTTTTATTGTAATAGTGCAATAGCATTTCTCGATTTTTCTCAAATTATTGTTTTTTTTTCATTCGTCGTGATCTACATACAATATTTGGTAAAATTCAAAATTTATATCGTAAATACTCTCATATAATTTTTAAGGACGGTACTATCCGCCCGATCTACGGGTCTACGGGAAGCTTTCCCGTAGCTGAACCGTGGATCGATAGAATTTAGTCCAAGCTTTCAGATCCTCTATATAAATATATAGAGGAGTCACTCTAAAGAAGGTTGTAATTGATTCAGGTGTTTGTTAAAATAACAATATTGAAAAATCGTACCGAAACGAATTAGTGATTAATAAATGAAAGATTTTTGAAAATTTTCAATTTTCTTAGTGAAATGCAAAAATGTGAACACAAGATAACAGAGAATCATTTCAAAACAGTAAATTGCTAATTATAACATTGACACTCCAAACTAAAAAAAAGTACCTATAATAATATTTTTATTTTAATTAATATTTAATATATTTAACAAACCTCACATAATTTGTTTTTAAGAACTTATTTATAGGTAAAGCTAAGAAGTACGAAAATTTTTCCTATGTATCTGAAACCTTGTACTAAATTTAATAGATCCACGAGTGAGCTACGGGAATGATTCCCGTAGACCCGTAGATCTGGCGAATGGTCACTTCAAATTTTTAAATTTTTAAAGGTGTTCTATGCGTGTGCAATTGTGCTAAACTTTTCTAAATTAATAAATTAATCATAAATATTTGTAATATTTTGATTTCTATTTGAATGAGTTTTTTTTGTAATTGTTATAAATGGAGATGTCGATTTTCAAAAGCGATATTAAAATTTAAAATTCGTGTAAACGAGTGGTGCGCGATTGTTGTACTTGTAATGTTATTTAAAGTTTGTTGTTATTTGAATATATTTTCTCTTCATGAATCTAAAATGTCTAAGATACTTAATAAATAGTTTTATAGTTTAAATTTAAGTAACACAATTGTTTTCGGCAGTCTTGCGGAAACAGTACTTGTATAAGTTTTTGTGTACTTAAATATCATATCAATTAGCTTTAGTATCTTTGTAGTACTCGTAATGATTTATTGTAAAATCTATTTTACAATATTAAGCAATAATCTCACGTGACAGAGAATAATTTTTTGCTTTCATTTTAAGGTATATTCTAAAATCTGTTTGCTCTATTATGTAATAAAGAGCCAATATTCGTTTACTTTGGTTTAAAACCAGCTTAAGTTATAGAAATTACTAAAATTATATCCAATGTGTGGAAAACATTACGGACAAATCGATTTTTCTCTTATATCGATTAATGTGACAGCGCAAGATGTTGACGTATTAAATAATTTGAAATTATAAAATTTAAATAAAAAAAAACTCTATTTTTCGCATACTTATGTAATAATTTTAATTATTATAATGGTCTTAAAAATTTATGCAATTTTTACGATGACATCTTCTAAATAAAATAATTAAATTAAAAAATTAAATTAAAACAATATAATGAATAAAATTCTTCCTCTTTCAATAACTTTTGGAAAAATCAAACGTTTTATTGTACTTAGAATACATTCAAAATGATTACTTGTAATATATCCAAAAGTAAGGCCTATTAGTGATGTCCTAAGCCCCAATTAAATTTCTAACTTGATATTTAATGATAATTGTAAGACTGAATTCGTGAATTACCTACTATTTATTTTGCTTGTAATGTCTTTGCCTTGTATATTTTGTTTATTGATATTATATGAACTCAAAAGGATAAGATAGACGGATCGTGTAGAAAATTGAAGCCGAAGTGGTATTATAAGTAGCTAATTTATAATATTATTTCTGTAGTTACAAAAAAAATCATCAGAAAAATATTATTAAAAATAGTATAAAAATATGTAATTAATATAATTTTATATAAAACAAAGTTAAACCATTTATAACTCAAGAACGGCTGGACCGATTTTTATGATCTTTATTCGATTTATTTCCGCCCCGAATAGCAGAATAACTAGATGTTAAAACATCGGAAAAATTCACGAAAAAAGAAAATTAAAATGTTCATGGCTAACGCTGGCTAATAACTATTTATTTTTATTTAGTATGTATGTACCTAGGGGCGCACCCGAACTAAGCGAGTGTAAGTCAAGTATAATATTAAAAATGATAATTACCATATTCTCTTTACGGCAATGATATTTTAATCTCATCTAATATTACTACACCTTTCGTCCATCTTATCCTCATAGTCTGAGTATATGAAGTTAATTTAACATTTAACTCTATTTATTGTATCTTTCTATTTAGTCAATGTAAAGGAATATTTTTAACAAAAATTAGATGAAGTAAAAACATGTGAATTAGGTAGTTGTGTTTAGTTTATGAATAATTTATTGCTGCTCAAATTAATTTTTAAGTTTGATTTTTAAAATATTACCCTTTTGAATGTTGGAGAATAAATGTGGAGAAAACAATTTAAATTATCTAAACATATAATTGTAACTGATCGCTGTCTGTTCATTGAAGGTACTTATTTAAGAAAAATGTATTATTGAGGGTCTTTATAAATGCAATAGAACCCAAAACAATGATTTTTTTAGAATTTTTGTCTGTTTGTTTGTGCGTTTGTGCGCGCTAATCTCAGAAACGGCTTGACCGATTTGGGTGCGGTTTTTACTCGTGTATTATGGTAAGTTTCACTTAAGATTTGGTATTTGTTTTATTTCAATCGGTTTCTTAAATAAAAAAGTTATATGTCAATGTAAAGAATCAGTACTTAAAGAATTTTAATGCCAACGTTAGGTACCTTGTCTGGAAAATGCGACTTATAAGTATAAGTAGCAATAAATATTTTTAATATTTTATTCAGTTATTGTATACGTACCTATAGAAAAATAAATATTTTTCTTAAATTCGTCGTTTAATCACATGTACGCTACGTGTATTAATTTAAGTTTATTGATTCCGTGTTTTTTTATATTTAATTTTTTTTATTGAGTTTATTAATTAAAAAAATGTTTTTATTAACCTATATAATTGTTGCCATACATACCAAAATTACATACCTTGATTTAATTTATTGAGCCATAAATTATTACTTCACAGATAAATAATTGTGTTAATATTGCATAATGTTATTGTACCTATTTATTATTTTTTTCATAAATTGCTATCTCGTGTGAATGATGACTTTGAGATTATTGTGTACTTTTCTCTAATATTTATATTTGAGAATTCAATAAAATTATACTGTTACTCATTTCTGCAGTTTTATTAAACCTATAACCAATAAGAAATACCTCTTTTATTTTTATATTGATGACTGCCACGTTGGTCTAGTCACTTTAGTGGCTAGCATGTACGGCCACAAATAGTGCTGGGTTCGAGTCCCAGGTCGGGCCATATTAGTTGCTAGGTTTTTCTGTCATGAAATAAGAACTCAGTAGGAATCTAGAGTGTGGCGAATACACTCCGTGCCGACCACCTGCGTTAAGCTGTAGTTCTCACCGCCGGTGTCTAATTAGCATACAATCGGAATATGGAGGTTAAGCAAATAAAGTGCACTTGTCAATAAGTTAACAAAATAAAATCATTTGTCTGTGCACATACGCATTGTATTATATATGTATATTATATTGTTAGGAGAGTATTTCAGAAATAGTGACCTACTAGGTAAGTCAAATAAAGTTCTTTGTCATGGTATATACACATTTTGTATTATTTTGTAGAGTCAGAGTAACGTTTCAAATTTAAAACTCTTACGGAAACTAGAGTTAGATTAAACCTAAAAATTTCCCGCGTTTCCCCTTTTTTTCCACTCAACATGATAACTTAAGAAAACTCAAAATATGTATTTTATATCAGAATGACATAGAATCAAGTAATTATTTTACAATTATTTACATATATCCTATTTTTAAAATAAAATAATATTTTCATCCCCATTTTCACCCCTTAAGGGATGATTTCCGAGATGAAAAGTATCCTATGTCCTTCCCAGAGTCTCAAACTATCTTCTCACCAAATGTTATCTAAATCGGGTTCCGTAGATAAAGATTACCCCCTACAACGTCACAAACTCACATACACATTACCTCTTTAGAATATTAGTATAGATAATGTATAGATTTATAATTTAGGGTTTTCCAATCTTTCAAATCTCGGAAGCCACGGTGGTCATTTAAACGATGCCACATTCCATACATGACACTCATGAACCTTTTAAATAAAAATAATAATAATTTCATTAATACCTCACAAACAGCTTGTTTTATTCCATTTCAACATCAACTCATTTTATTATGAAGTATGTAATTAAACACCATATCTACCTTATAACAGCTTTTATTCTTTCTAAAGATTGATATTTACCTAAGAGTTGCATCATTTCAGCTACACTCGGCCCTTCATTCATGCCACTTAAAACAGAACGCAGCATTTTCATTAACACAGGAAACTTAACATCATTTTGTACTGAAAAGTGTTTTAAATTATCTTTTATCGAGTCCTGTTCAAATTTGTCCAATTCTTCTAAATTATTGATTAATTTTTCGAATAAGTGCTTATTTATTTCGATATTTTTATGTGAAGGTAAAATCCAAAGGAAAGCGTATTTTGGTGTTGCCAGCTCTTCGATTCGCGATATTCTTGATGTTGCCCAATTGAGAACACTTTTCACATGTTCTTTGTTCATGTTTAGATTTTGTTCCGGATATTTTTCTTTTATTAAACTTTGAAGTTTTATTATTAATGAATCTAATAATTTTTGGTCTTGTAGGTGACGTTTGATTTCCAAACGGTTGCACTCTTCAAGTAAATCTGTGTTAAGTCTGCTTGGATGTGAAGATATTTTGTTTATTTGGAACTGCAAATTGAACGTTAAAAATGGATATATAAAGCAAAATATATATTTTTATAAACATATTATATAGCAAAATATCTAATCAATTAAAGTAATTTATCAAAATTTGTGACATATTTAATAATAGATTCAGATTTTTTAGTATAACTCGTTTTTAGGCCTTATTAAAGCTGTTTACGACCAGTTTTATATTGAAGTTAATCAATAGCCTCTTTGCCGAGTATGTATGTCGACACAGTTCAACTGTGTAGGCAGTGTAGTGGCTAGCAAGTATGGCTGCATATCGACAGGTCTCGGTCGGGTCAAGTTTAGTAATTGAGTCTTTCTGTATAATAAGCCTCAGTAACAGCCCGGAGTAGAGAAGTTGGCGGTGTTTCACCCCCGTGCCTCGGAGAGCACATGAAGACGTCGGTCGATAGTTGTCCCACCGGAGTATGAGAGAGACAGGAATAGAGAGTGCACGTTGTGTCTGCGCGTACACGCGCTGCACTATAATATCTCCTGCACTGGCCGCCGTGGCCGGAATCGGTCGGGAGGTCATTATTATTATTTTATTATGCATACACAAAAAATAAAAAACAATAAATAAATAATTTACTGATATAATTATTAGGAAATTCCAGAGAAGAAATTTAACTAACAAAATCTTACCTCCTTAGCTAATTCCTCCATTGTCTTAAATCTTATACCCTCCCCTACAACATGATCGAATCCTCCCCCAGAGAGGGTTATATAGTTGACCAAAGCCAGTGGATATATACCTAGAATAAATTATGATGTTTTAGTTTTTTTTTAATTTAATCATATTTATTAAACTAATTTCGAAATATTTTATGAATAAAAAAATCCTACTTAGAAATTTTGCTGTAATAAGACTATACTAATAAAAGTAGTTTGTATGTTTAGTAGTTTCCATGGGATATAATAAATTATAATAATAACAAATATATATATAGAGTACACAGAAGCCAGTGATTGAAGCCCGAATGGTATTATATAGTAAGCTATTTATAATACTACTCCCCATAAACACAAAATAATCATAGCATATTAAAAATAATATTTAATTGACATATTTTTATTTGATAGTCATTTATTTGCCGTTAACTTTATTCATTATTATAAACACACAGTGTAAAAGAACAGACTTTTAGTCTAAAAATATATAAATGGAAATATGATGTGTAACAATATTTAATTAGGTCTACCCTTAGTCCTATAGTCCTCGACTTTCACATCACTTTGTCGTTTACTGAGTTTTGTACCGTCAGCATTCACTATGAGAGGCAAATGTCCAAACTCCGGTGGTGTCCATCCAAATGCCCTGGAAACAATCTTTACATAACAGAAACTCCTTTTTCTTTTGCTTCTCCTTTCTCATTAAATTAATAACAACTAAGAAAGTACAATAAAAATTAAATAATTAAGAACTTCGTACAATAAAAATTAAGATGAAATAAGTTTACTTTTTTTTAATGTTGGGAAATGCATATTTATTTTACCCTACTCATAAATATAACAATTAAAAACTTTATATGTGAAATGAGGTGATAATACAATTATGATGAGCTTAGGTAGATAGTGAAACTTGAAGTGAAAGCTTAAGCTACAATGCAGTTCAGACAAAAGTAACAAAGATATTTAAAGTATCTCTATTGACTGTCACAAATATAATTAAATAAAAAAAACAATGTCAGAACTCAGATCTTAACTCCTGTCATATATCCATACTTAATATTACAAATGTGAAAGTGTGTTTGATTGTTTATTTGTTTGCCTTTTTTTCACATCGGATTGGCATGATTTTTTGTTTGGAGACTTTTTACTGAGGGAGATTATCTCATTCCCATGGGAAAACATGTTATAATACAACCCACAACATCTATATACCTGTGTATATACAAATGTTAGTATGCAATAGCTTATTTCATACTAACTGTTAAAACATAAGCAGGGAGGAACCCAAGTGAAGCGAGGGTGTGTCTCTAAATATATACATATATTCACTTCCTACCTATATATCAACAAATGTTTAGTAGTAGATATTTGCCATTCCACTCCTCTCAACACATGAGTAATTCCCATTAAGTGGTCATCAACTACATTTGCAAAGTGATATGTTGGATAGCCGTCACCTTTCATCAGCACTGGATCGCCTTCATTTAAAGACACATCATATGCTATGCCACCAAATATTAAGTCTTCAAATGATTGGCAATCCGATGATAACTGGTAAATAAAAAATTACAGGTTTTCTTGTAAATTATTAAATATTTAAGCAAAATTAATTTATATGTGACATTCACCTTATAATATTATACATTTAGCAACAATACCTCTATATATTAAGTATTTTTCATGTTATTGTGCTAAAAAATTTAAATAAATACATTTTAAGCAACATACCTTAAATCTTATACAATATGGGGTACCAGCTTTAATTTTTTCTTTGATAAAAGAATTAGACAAGCTACGACATTTATTATCATACTTTGGTATCCTTTGATGCCTTATGGCATCTCTACGAAGAATGTTTAGACGTCTCTCTGTACAAAAGCATTTATATGCAGATCCATTATCTAAAAGTTTTTGTATGTATTCTCTGAAATTCATATATTATGTTTTTTATTCATTAAATTTGAGGAAAGTAACTTTTGATATAAAATAAAATATTCAGATTAGATAATATATTATTAGAAACCAATTTTACAAACTACTTTGTATTTATTTTCCTCCAAATTATATATCTACTTATTTTTCTTTAATTTGTATTATTAAGATATTTAAATATAAATAACCTACTGATAAATATTCAATCGTTCACTCTGTATATATGGACCAGACTGGCCACCTTTTCCTGGTCCTTCATTATATTCTATTCCTGCCCATTCTAAATCGTTTATTAAGGCTTCCACAGAACCTTCTACTTTTCGAGTTTGATCTGTGTCTTCAATTCGTAAAATAAAAACACCTTGACGTGATTTAGTAAACAAATAATTATAAAGAGCTGTTCTTAAGCCACCTAAATGCAAATATCCTGTTGGACTAGGTGCAAATCTCACTCTAGGAACGATAGTTTTGTATGTGCAACACAGGTTATGTTTTGGTAAGAGATAAAAATGCCTTAAAGTAAGATTCCACATCTTAGTATATTTAATAAAGAATAATAAATTTAAATTTTAACTTAATAGTATTAAATGTTTTTTTACAAAAAACTACTTAATAAAATTATTGTTTTTACTTTTTAAATGTTATGACATTGTCATTAATAAAAGTTGACATTTGACAATCAGCTGTTTTGTTTTCTATTATTTATTACGTTGATAAATTATATGAGGTAATAAAGATAAAGAATGATAAATTTAATAAAAAATATAATAACTAAAATATTTTACGGGAATATTATAGGGAGAACTGTATATTGTAATTAATGCAATAATTATTTAAATGGCAATGACATTGAAAAAACACCTTTGCAAATTTTTTACTCACTATCAAAAAATTAAAAAATTATCTTTGATTGTTGCTTTTCATTTTTAGTTCCGATGTCGAAACAACAGTGAATTTAGTGAAAGTCATTATATGAAACAACAAACAAACCATCAAAATGGTTAGTATTGACTGTTGTTGTGGTATACAAGCAAAATACTTAAGTAAATTGAAAATGTACTCTAATCTAATAAGAAAATCAAAATATATTTGACAGTTAAGCGCTGAACTAAGGTTATGACATTATTGCGTTTTCTTTTCAGAATAAATTAAAATCATCACAGAAAGAAAAAGTGAAGAAGTTCGTAGCATTTACGCAAACAAGCGAGAGCACTGCCATATACTGCCTCTCACAAAACGACTGGAAATTGGACATGGCGAGCGATAACTATTTTCAGAACCCTGATGCCTATTACAAAGACCCTGTGAAAGCATCAATAGATAGAAAAAAACTAGAACAGTTATTCAATAAATATAGAGATCAACACGAAAATGACAAAATAACAGTTGATGGTGTTATGAAATTTTTAGAAGACCTAAATTTGAGTCCTGAATCTATATTAGTTCTTATAATAGCTTGGAAATGCAAAGCAGCTGTACAATGTGAATTTACTAAAGAAGAATTTATGACTGGTCTTATAGAACTTGGAGTTGACAGCGTAGATAAATTAAAAACAAAATTACCAACATTAGAAATGGAAATCAAAGATCCTAATAAGTTTAAGGATTTTTATCATTTTACTTTTAACTATGCAAAGAACCCAGGTCAGAAGGGACTAGAACTCGATATGGCTGTAGCATATTGGAATATAGTGCTCCGTGGGAGATTTAAATTCCTTGATGTTTGGTGTAAATTTCTCACAGTATGTATTACATTTTATTAGCTATAAAATAAAAAAATTCAATTCTCTCATTAATAGCTTCAAAGAGTGCCAGTTGACAACATTAGTTCACCAATGTCACATAGAATGGAGAAGACCCAAAGGAGATTAAAATAAAATTTTGAATTTAGGTTAAGGATTGGTATAAAATCTAACTGTAGTTTTGTAAAAATAATATATTAAATATTTTATAGTAATAGATTAGATAATTTTGGACAACATTATATTTGATGACCAATCGACTTCAATAAAATATTTGATTATTTAGATAAGAAATGTGGAAGACCTAGTACTACTTTTTTAGATTTATATGCAAATATTTTACATTTTGAACAAAACTATTTTTTTGGATTTTTTTTGCTTGGTTGGACCAAAAATCAAAATAAATCTACAAAAAAATCTAAAAAGATAGTTTTATTTTAAAAGACCTATTTTAAACACAAATTAGAGGGATTGAAACAAACATAAATAAAGTTTGACCTTTCTATTTAATATTTCAGGAACATCATAAAAGATCCATACCGAAAGACACATGGAATCTCCTCCTAGATTTTGCCACACAAATTGATGATGGCATGAGTAATTATGATGCAGAAGGTGCATGGCCAGTGCTTATAGATGACTTTGTTGAATGGTGTCAAAAGCAAGAAATAACAGCAGATGGTGTAAAATTAGAGCCAGTGTCGGGCTAGCTGATACTTTGCTCACAGCGTGAAGTGAAGGAACACAGTGAGTGTCAGAACAAGTTCCTCGGAGAGTGGGGCTTCTCAGTGACATGTTTACTGGTTCGCTTCATTCTGTACGGTCTGGAGCTGTGTGCAGTGGAGTGGATCGCTATACTTATAGTTTTCGATCTATACAGCTGACTCATGTTGTGTAAGGTTCGTGTTTTGTTTGAACAGTTTTTTTTAACTCAACTGTATAAAGCTCTGAACTCGTCCGTTAGAATAACTAGAACTTTCCTAAAATAGGATATATTAAATTTTTTCATTGAAAATTGTAGGGAAATTATCTTTTTAATAATTGTTCGTATTTAATAATATTGCGTTCTTGCATAACTAATCTGTGAAGTTAAAATTAAGATGTAAATATGTATATAAAGATTAATGATATAATTTTTTTTTAATAATAGTGTCCTTGTCCTTTTTGTTTTGACTGTTATTAAATCTTAGAGTCAATGAGCCCTCTAAAATATCTTCTATAAAGCAGGATATTGTTAAGAAATCTGTTGAGAAGTGCAATTTAAAAAAAAAATAGTAATAAAGAAAGTTACATAATAATATTTATTTTACTAAACAAGAATTTAGAAAAATTTCATAAAAAAAAATCTAACGATATAATAAAATAGCTTGTAGTATGTGTTATTTATTGTTAAAACCTGTTTTGAGGGCCCATTTTGTTAGCAAAATTGAATGATACTGAAAGATTGGCCATTATCCCTTCTCGAAATAGTTTTTATATATTATAAATATATTTTATCTGTTGGTGATCTTTCAATAAAACACTAATGTTTTTTAATTTTGTATTACATTTGTCTATTGACCTCTTTACAAAAGTTACAAACAGACCTTAATATTTATATGTACAGTTAAAATTAATGCCAAACTCTTAATGCATATGGGAACTAAATTATTTTCCCAAATATACATTTTAAATACATGTTATTACAAATGGTGACTTTAATTTTGATATGTTTAAGGTATTCTCATATATCTAATATTACTATATTGCTAGAAGGTGTGTGGGGTTTAAGTTATTTTATACTAATGAATATCGGGATTGAAATAAAACAAATACTGAATCTTACCACCATATATGAGTGAAAACCTCACCCGAATTGGTTCAGCCTTTTCTGAGGTTATCACACATAAACGCACAGTCAGACAAAAATTCTAAAAATCATTGTTTTGTGTTCTATTGTGTTAATAAAGACCCCAAATAATAGTTTTTCTTAAATATATTCCATATAAAGACAGTACAAACCAGTTACTTTATTATATGTATGTATGATGATGATGATATAAATACACAGTTGTCTCCTTAATAATTTCTTGTATAGATCTGCTTATTTCCAAGAATGGGACATGCCCGTTTTTATATACAGAAATGATAACTCATATCAATAATACTTATGGAGTCACCAAATCAATAAAGCATAAACGTATAAGACTTGCTTTGAGACCAAATAATAATATCCATAATATTTTTTAAAATCTTTTTTAATGTAATCATAAAACAATATAACAAAAATAAATATTTTTAATGTTTTTATTTTATATATACATATACTCCCCCACTTCCCCCATAAGTTTGACTCATGCGCGTAATAATTCGTGTAAAAGAAAGAGATAGATTTATTTAGCATTTGTATGTCTCGCTTCCTCTTAAGCACTTGCACTTACGTGTGCTAGCAATATAGTATATTAATTTCTAATATGCTTAAAACACTTAATATGATTATGAATGAGTGGACAAATGTAATACAGATTAAAAATGTGAAATCAAACAGTTTGGAGTGAATTATACTATGTTTGTAATCTGTTAATGTTTGCAAAAGTTAGCTGTTGATTTTTCAATAATTTAGAATCTTTTATTATCAATAGATTTTCTAATTTTTAGGGAAATTGTTGCGTCTATAGTAATATGAAATCATTAAATTATTTGGTACTTAGATTTAATGTACAAAGATGAAAATGATGTATCAAATATGAATTACAATAAATTGTTAAACAAATTGTGCATTTTTATATTATTTTGCACGCTTATGTAACATTCATGAAATTAGAAGAGGTAGTCATTTTTAGGATATGGAATAGAACCCCGCTACCTCTTAGCAGTATTTCTTGATATTAGTATTATATGAAAATAAAAATCTCCATGCATTTCTAAATTTGATAAGTTATTGTATACATAAAACAATATAAGTATAATAAATAATTTATTTTCTTTTATAAATAAAACACTTTCACTCATCACTATCTTCATTTGGGTCGTCTTCCTCTTCCCCAAATTCTTGTTCCTCAATAGTTGCGTCTTGATACTGTTGATATTCTGATATGAGGTCGCTAAGATTGCTATCGGCTTCTGTAAAATCTCCTTCATCCATTCCTTCCCCAGTGTACCAATGAATGAATGCTTTCCTTCTAAACATCGATGCAAACTGTTCAGATATCCTCTTAAATATATCCTGAATGGCAGTCGTGTTGCCTATGAAAGTTGCCGACATTTTCATGCCACGAGGCGGTATATCACATACTGCTGTTTTAACGTTATTTGGTATCCATTTCACGAAGAAGTCATTATTTTTGCTTTGAATGTTGAGCATCTGTTCGTCCACTTCTTTCATAGACATACGACCTCTAAATACAGCTGCGACTGTTAAATATCGACCGTGTCTGGGATCGCATGCTGCCATCATGTTCTTTGCGTCGAACATTTGCTGAGTTAGCTCTGGAACAGTTAGAGCACGGTATTTTTGAATACCGCGAGCAGTGAGCGGGGCGAAACCAGGCATAAAGAAATGGAGACGCGGAAACGGAACCATATTTACAGCCAATTTTCTCAAATCAGCGTTTAGTTGCCCTGGGAAACGTAAACATGTGGTGACCCCCGACATTGTAGCTGATACTAAATGATTTAAATCACCGTATGTTGGTGTTTTTAAACGTAGAGTTCTAAAGCATATATCATATAACGCTTCATTATCTATACAAAATGATTGGTCGGAGTTTTCGATTAGTTGATTGAGTGACAACGTTGCGTTGTACGGTTCAACAACTGTGTCTGATACTTTGGGACTTGGCACAATTGAGAACGTTAGAAGGATTCTATCAGAATATTCTTCTTTTAAATTAGCAAGGATGAGGGTTCCTAACCCTGAACCAGTGCCACCTCCAATGGAATGTACGACTTGGAAACCTTGAAGACAGTCGCATCCCTCAGCTTCTTTTCTAACTACATCGAGGATGGATTGAAGCAAATCAGCGCCTTCTGTATAGTGGCCTTTTGCCCAATTATTGCCAGCCCCACTGGCGCCATAGACGAAATTATCTGGTCGAAAGATTTCCCCATAAGGTCCGCCACGAAGGGAATCCATGGACCCAGGTTCGAGATCCACCAAAACAGCTCGAGGAACGTATTTGCTTCCAGCACCTTCATTGTAGTATACGTTTATTCGTTCTAATTGAAGGTCTGAATCACCAAAATAGCATCCATTTGGATCTATTCCGTGTTCATCAGATATTACTTCCCAGAACTATAAAATAAAATTACGATATTAAAATAATACTTTTTTTCTTTAATGATTTAAGAGTTATAATACTCTTTTTGCAAGTTAAAAGAGGCAGTAGGTATCAAAGGTTGTAATTTCTAATCTTTATTGTTAGAGCCATCTTATGCCATTTGGTCAATGTAACACCAACATCTGTATATAATCTACTTCACAAGACTCTAAAGAATGACTTGTAAACACGCAGCCTAAGCGACTCTGTCTACAACCTTGAATTTTTGTAGTTTCTAATATAATCTAAATCGTATATAATATAATATAAATCGCTAAGGATCTAAAAGGATGTTTGAAAGTTCATCTCCTAAAATAGGTATGAATATTTGTATGGAACTTTTTCATATAAGTAAGTTTCGGTTGTCAGAAGACAGAATTTGAACCCTGGACTGGATATATATATATACTGATATACCAGAACGATGAATCTTATTAGGCCACTAGCGAGTTACTCTCGCTTAGCTCGGGAACTATAATTCTTTTTCTAATATAAAAGTAACCAAAGTCACTACTTATAACATCAGCTATTTGCCAGTGAAAGTCCCGTCAAAATCGATCCAGCCATTTCAGAGATTAGCCGGAACAAACAGACAGACAAAAATTGTAAAAAATGTTGTTTTGGTATACGTCAAAATCAGTCCAGCCATTTCGGAGAAGCCGGGAATAAACAGAAAGACAAAAAAATTAAAAAAAAGTGTTTTTTTTTTATAAGAACCGTATATAATTGCATATGAATTTAGTAAAAAGCTGTTATTTTGACATTACAAACAGACACTTCAATTCTATTTATCTGTATAATTAAATGTGGAAAATTTAATAAAAATATTTAATTTATATTAATAATAAAAATATTTCTTGTTACCTTCGATCCAATTTGGTTGCCACATCTTCCAACTTGAATATGAACTATTTCCCTCATTTCCACAACGAATTTTGTAAATAAATAAATAAAATTAATCAAATTTACAATATTAAAAAAATACGGTATTAAACAAATGTTACATTAAACTACGTTGTCCTAAACTATAAAAATAATAAATGAGAAATTAAAACCAATCTTGTTGGTCATGGCATTCAAAAAGTTGAATAACATTCTTTTATTTAAATATTTTTGAAATTATACTTCTTTTGGCACGTTTGTAAAAAAAGAGTAAAAATACGATGCACGCGCACACAGACAGCCAAAAAGCGACATGATGCATTCCTTTTACAAACAGTTGTGACATACGGGATGAAATCTTTACCTATTTTTGTTCTGTTACGCCAAAATAGTTTAGCTTCTTACGTGCGCACATAAGTACACACATACGTTTTTTGTCAGTTTGTACTTTCCAAAACTATCACATTATCAGAGACAAATAATATACTATCAATTAATCACAAATTCTTTATTAAAATTTTTATTTCAGTACTAATTTGTGTACTTACAAAGATACAAAATATTAAAGTCGGAGAGACGACAGTTATAAAGTAAACGCACGTTCAAAAAGGCCTTACCGCTATAAGCGATCCCTTCCAGGCAACCTTAGGGCGTAGGAGTAATTATATGAAATGGTAGACGGTGATTGTTACACACAAATATAAATCCTAAATACATAGCTATATACATATATGCATAAATAAATACATCTATTATGTATTTATGCGAATATGTATATACGTGAATAAGTATACAAATATACATACATAAATGTAGATCGGATGAAAAAGTACAAGAAGTATAATATATAAAGACACTAAAGAAATAAATAATATCATTTTAACAGTAGCTTAAAATTATTAAGTATATTGATCGATTTAAAACTATCGTCTCTCTGACTATAAACTTATTCTAACATTCTTTGGTTAGAACATACTTAAATGACAAGTTATTGCACAATTTTTCACTTAACTATACGCAATGACTTCGTCTGTATTTGAGAAATAACCAAATATACTTAGAACAATAACACTTGAATTAGTCTACTAATTCGTCTAACTTTTATGGCCATTGACAATATTATTTAGTTGAAAAACGGAATATTTTATCGATTAATTTTATTATATTAACACAAAACTGTGTCGAGACTAGAATCGAGTTACAAACTACCTACGTAACTGTGGCAGCGATAACGACACGTACAAAACGAATAAGAATGAGGGTAGACGGATGTGTCTGCCAATAAAAAGTTCAAAATTTACCCTCAAAATCATCAGTACCTGATTTCCAATTACAGCACTAAAGCGCATTATGCGGCATAATGCTCAACTTCGAATTTTTCAACTACAGCAACGCTCCGCACAATCGAGCACTTTGAAAAGTACTGCTTTTAGTAGGGGAGCCCAAGAGGGGATTTTCTGTAGTTACTCGAGCGCGGCAGATTAACATAAAAGAGGTTACCCTTAGAGAGCCTAAGAGGCAAAAATCATCATAAACTTTATAGTCGATTTTTGCCTCATCGGCTTGTGCAAATCGGCAGATTATTGAATTGGACACTTTTCAGGATGTGACTAGCCTACCACACCTTAATCTGACGGTTTCAAGTATTTCTACCTTATCAAAACATTTTTTAAATATTTTAATCGGCTTCCCTAGACGCGCCCCTTTATATAGAAGAATAAGTCTTCTATTATGGTGAAAGTACTCAATAGAGTGCAAGGTAACCTCTTTTATGTTAATCTGCCGCGCTCGAGTAACTACAGAAAATCCCCTCTTGGGCTCCCCTACTATTTGGCGTGACCAACCAACTCAGTACGTAATAGAAAATATAAGAAGTGGTTTTTCGCGTTGTTCGTGTTTGTGCGCCAAAGTGCAGCATTATATTCTGTAATTGGAAAACATCGGGAACTCTTAAAATTAAGTGATAAACATGGTAAATATCCCGTTTTACATCACAATAATACTTGAATTAGTATTCCCTATCGGCAAGACTCACCTCTCTCCCGTGACCATGGATGCTGTAAAGCATTCGAAACGTCGGGAACCAAAAATCAAAATAAATCCGCGAAATAATCCGAAAAGATAGTTTTATTTAAAAAAGTCACTAGGGAACCTAATATCCGCCAATGGCGTTGTTTATCCTTATATAAAACCCTTTTGAAAAGCCGCCATTTACATAAAGATTTTAATTCGTTGTAATATAAAATTATTGCTTTTATAACCATCATATATTCTAAATCGATTGTGCACAATCAATATTTAATATAAGAAAGAAAAGTGGCACAGTGAGTGAGTCCACAGTGAGTGAGATATTTATTGTTTAAGCAAATTGTGAAAATTTAGTTTAGAATTTAGTATGTATATTAGTGCTACCTTTATAATTGGCTAAGTTTGAGTTGGAATCGTGGTAAACCTAGGATTGATATATTATTTAAATTTGAGGTATTACATTTAATGTACAATCTCAGACTAAATAATTACATAGATGGAGTCCGCCAAAAAAAATGTCAAAGTCAACAATAGCAGCGTGATTTTCTGTTTATAGTACTATTCTCCATTTAACCATACGATCGTTTACTTTCTTTAAAAAAATATATACTATTTTTGTAAAAAATATATATGAATAATAAAAAACAAACTAGATTCTTGTATTTTAAAGCATTAGTTTTCTTCCCTTTGATAGCGAGATAGCATAAAGGTAGTTGATTTAATATTTTTTTTTATTAACAATTATTTATCAAAGTAAAAAATATACTATTAATATTTGTATTCCCTTTTAAAACATCATATATTATATTTAAATATTGTATGGCTTCTTATATAGAACTGAACATGACACTGTATGTATGTATGTATTATTCCTTAGTCTGAGTGTACAATAAGCATACTTATCTATGTTTATTTTGAAATCGATGTATCGGTAAAGACGTGGTAATTATGTCACTTTTCTTTTAAAAACACACAACCAATTTCTTATCCTCTATAGTTAAACTACTAATATTTAATAAGTGGATTTCAAATAATCAATATTTAATGTATCCGCAATGATATATAAAAACTCAAGATACACAATTAGTTTCAAAAGCGTCATCAAAATTAAGTGCAAAATTCGTAATTGTGCGCTTTTTTCCAATAACTTTTGTTAATTGCTTTTCGGATGACAAAATTTTACCGCACGTTGTTTCGTTTAAAAAAGTGCTTAATATGGTGTGCGTAAGTTCGAATTTGTGTTGAGACTATGGTTTGACTTAACATCACATGTGATACCACTTTTCGAAGAGATATTTGTTAGAAAATGTGTATTCATGTTTTTATATATCAATGTGTATCCACCCTAAAATTATCAACCATAATCATATAATGGCGATATCGATAATAGAATATCAATTTGTCGAAATCGAATCGAATTGCAAACGATCGTCTCAAAAAGTAAAAGAAAAAAAAATTAAAAACGACTACCCATCTGCTCCTGTCTGAAGTCAAAACCACTTAACCAAACATTATTGAACTACTTATAACTAGTTCCATATAACCTAATTTATTCAGTAATTAATTATCAACCAATTCTTTCTAGAATGAGGTCTAGCGATTTTCTCAAGGAAAAATTAAGTACAAACATACAAAATTTGTAACATTATATATATACATATGTATAAATATATACATATATAGTATAAATAAAAAAAAAGCATTCAATACTTAGTAAGAAGAATATTTTAATTATTCTAGATAAGGTTTCCAATATTGCTGTCTCGCTCACTCTAGATGAGACGGAATGAGATAGAACTAGTATTTTAAGTAAAGAAAAAACATGCGTTTGGTTTTCACATTGACAGTTATTCAAAATATCGAGCCCAAATTATACAATATAGAAAATGTAATCATTAAATGCATATAAAAAATATTAGAAATAAAGCTAATAATATAAATGCGAAAATGTGTTTGTTCATTGATCTTTTATTTATTATTAAAAAGAGATATTTCATCTTTGAACGTACATACATACACTTCGGTTAGCTTAAGACTTATAAATACTTTTTATTACATAAGTATTTATCTCATAAAAAAAGCAACTCTTGTATATATATAAATTCATTTCATGTATTTCTGGAACGACTCTAACATTTTGGATCAAATTTTGTATTTAAATAAGGTTTAGCTTTTTAAGTTTATCTATATACCTAGGTATATTTTCTGAAAAAATGCAATTTTATAATATGCTTTTTATCACATAATCTAACTTAAAATTGTATAGTAGTAGGTTTTTTTAATGTAATATTTTTTTAAATATAATTTAAATACAAAGAGACTAGCATCACCTTCTATAATAACACATCATAAATTATTAAAATTACTAGCGACTCGCTTTCGCTCGCTCGGGTTCGTCCCTAGTGAAAAAAACAAAACTATCCCACGGGAACCGTACATTCCGGGATAAAAAGTAACATGTGCTAATCCAGACTATAATCTATGCCAATTTTCATCCAGATCCGTTCAGCCATTCTGGCGTGATTAAGTGACAAACATCTACTCATCCAAATTTTCGCATTTATAGTATTTATATGGGATTATTTAATTAATTTATTCTTCAACAAATACAAGTTAGCGTAAACCGTGTTCGTATTAGATAATACTGGTATAAAGAAGGCTCTGAATATTTTATTTGATTTACTCGCATCTAATATGGGGAGGGAAGCCATTATTTCCCATGTATTTACATTTTTATGGTATGGTGGTTCTTTTTTTGTTGGCGTTCCTATATCTGAGTCGACGAGGTAGTGGCATTCAGAGGGGTCGACGTAGGTTCGATTATCGCCCACATTTTGGTCGTTGAAGTAAGGATGTATGAGGCGGGTTGCTGAAAATAATTATATATTGTTTTGTGAAAATTCTAATAAATATGTATATATTATATTCATTCACTATTTAATACTGTTTCCCACGTACATAGGTTGAATGGAAGAGATCTTTTTTCTAAATATAAGTCGACCGTTGTCAACTAAATAAGACGTATTACTAAGAGTTCGATACTCGCGTTAAGAGATCAAATGTAGTGCTTTGTCTAAGCACGGGGGCGTCACACCAATTTCCCAAAACTTCCATACTATTGAGATTGTTTTTAAAAAACATAATAACTAAACTTGACCCGTCCCGGCACTCGAACCCAGGACCTCCGGACTTGCAGCCGTACGCGCTAGCCACTAGACCAACCAGACAGTACAAGATGTTAATATGTACATAATACATATATATGTAATGTTAAGTGCAATATAAATTATATAAATATTGATTTTGATACTCGCTTAATTATGCAGTTTGACAAATTAAATGTAGAATTACTTATAAATTAATTAATTAAAATCTAGATTAAATATTCTTGTTTTCTTTTGGTGTTTTCTGCTTTTTCTTGCACATATAATATTATACGATATGTACTAGCGACTCACCCTCGCATCGCTTCGAATCGATCCCTACACCCTTGACAAAAACAAATCTATCCCACGGGAACCGTACATATTTCCGGGATATTAAATAATCTATAAGCTATTCCAGACTATAATCTAACTCTGTATCTTTCACCCAGATCCGTTCAATCGTTCTGGCGTAAATGAGTAACAAACATCCATACATCCATCCTCACAAACTTTCACATTTATAATATTAGTATGGATTAATGGGATGGGATAATATGGGATATTTCCCAAACAAATAAACAAATTACACTCACCATTATGTTCATTTTGATACGGTGCAGGCAATTGCCCATCGAATTCACTTGCCACAAACCGTATGTTATATGATAGTGGGATATGAAAACTGGAAGGTGATCGATGCCACTCTTTGCCGAAGCAGATTATCTGGTCCTGATCAACTTCTGGCAGAGACCGGAGTATGTTCATTGGTGCACTGTAGTGGTTGTATAGTGCTGTTATACGGGATATACCTGAAATTTTTTTATTGGTGTGCAAAGGTACTGAAAATTTCATTATAAACATCGATCAAAAAATTACTATTTACACAATGAAAAATTTGTTAGGATTTAAACATTGCATTTAAGGTTCAATTTATACATTGTTGTATATTTATTTCAATAATTACCTAAAACAGTTGGTGACAATTTTAAGAGAACTTTCGCATGGGATTGTGTTTCTAGTACTTTTTTGATCGACGTTGGTTATAAGTAATAACAATGTCTTGCCGATCGATTTCGGCCACGGCGGCCAAATGTCACTGAGACTAGCTAGATGTGCAGCAGATATAGTGCAGCCTGTGTGTGTGTGTGTGTGTGTGTGATTGTGCGCAGACAAAACTTCCACCCTCTACTCCTGTCACAATTCAGTATTAAAAAAAAATGTATACCTAAACGGATACTATAAACGCCCGCCATTTCGCGCGCTTGGCGTGACGTCACAGTATGATATACACAGAGAAATTACGACTGGAATTGTAGTGACAAAATCGCTAATCGCTCTGTTATGATACTACTTTGACGTCATACCTTTTCGATCTGACCAATTGTGTGCGTTTCTACTACTTTGAATTTCCCACCTATATTTGTACTTTTTAAAACTAGAATAATAATAGTAATATAAAAAATATTTACAAACAGAAACAAAAAAAAAAGTTGACAACCCTAATGAACCACGGTCAACAGCCAGCAAGCACTCACCGGCGACGCCCGCCAGCAGCACGCACATGAGCACGAGCGGGCCGGTGTACGCCAGGTAGTGCCGCCGCCGCTCGCGGCGCCAGCGCAGCAGCTCCGTGCCCACGGCGAACGTCATCTTCTGCAGGCAGTCCAGGGCTATGGCGCCCGCTAGCACGATCATGCTGTATACTGGGTACAGGAATCTGTAAAATATTGTATTATTCATAAATATATAAGTAAATGATATTAAAATGGATAAAAAATAAATAAATATGTTGGGACATTAACACCCAACACCATCAAGTTTTATGGTAAGCTACGAGGCTTGTATTATGGATACCAGATGTGATACACTACACATATATAACTTTAAATACATATTATAAATATAAACAACCGTGAGTGGAATACAAACATTCGGACTCATCATACAAATTAATGCCCCCAGCTGGACTCGAACCCACGACCGCTGGCACAGCAAGTAGGGTCACTACAAACTGAGCCATACATGTTGTCAAATATACATATGTATGCATTTATATTTTACATTTAAAATTAATGCCAAACTTTTAATGTATTTACCATAACAATGTGAGAGCAGAAGTATAACCAACCTTTTTTTAAAATAGCGAAATACATTTACGCTTACCATGGGGGATATATAAGCAATGTAACATAACTATAAATAAAAGATATTAGCTCACCGTTCCTCTTTATGGGGTTGCACCATGAACACCCCGAGCCACAGCACCAGGGGCGAGAGACTGAGCCAGTACGGGGCGCAGAAGGCGGCGCGCGCGGTCGAGCGGGACGATATGAGCGTGCATGCTATCAGTAGTAGCGGGCTTGATAGTGCTAGGACCTGGCAATTGTTGAATATTGTATTAAAAATCGCTTTTTTTTTTTTCTTTTTATTTCTTGTATCTTCTGTCTTTATTTTAAGTATCATTTAAAAAATCTGTATAAGTTCATAACAGTAGGAGATTACCTCTAATTCTCCAATTAATTTAGTATTTTTAACGATCTCTGCATGTGGCAGCATTTTTGTTAAAATCAACAATACTGATGACATATGCAAGGGTTGTCAAAAATATCAATTTTCATGGAAAAGGATTTTAAACTTAAGTGTATAGGAATTAAAGTGATTTTTTTTTTAATTTTATAGGCATATAAAAATGAAATAATGCCTGCTCATCTGAGCAAGTTAGGCCTCTGGAATAAAGGGTGGTATTTTTGGACAGGAGAGGTGATAGGGTGTCTAAATATATAAAATTATTTTGAGGATATAAAAGTCTAAAGTCAAAAGTTATGGAGATTTAAAGCTTCAAAAATGAAACCCATACCGTATAGGCTGTGTTCCATATACTAAACTGAAGCTGACAAAGGCAATAATTTTAATATATTACATATAACAAATCGTACTCACCCACACAATATTAAAATTTAAGAATCCATTAACAAAGTAATATGTCCACGGTTCAACCCCATACAAATCAGGACCATGTTCGGTAAATATATTGTAGGCTACAATGTTCCATGGGGCTACAACCAATCTACCGTAATGCCATGAATCCACTGCAACTGTCGGTATGAGGATTATAATCAGCGAAATCATTGACCATTTGATGAATTCAAATATTTGTCCCTTGAAGAAAAGCATGTCAATTGCTATTGGTACACCTAATATGGCAGTGAACGGCCAACCTGTAATAATAAAAAAAATGTTATATGCGTGTAGAGTATATTAGTTTAATCTTATAATATTAAATGAGCAATTCTTGTATATATATATAAATTTATTTCATGTATCTCGGAAACGACTCTTATAGATCAAATTTTGTATTTAGATAAGGTTTTGATTTTTAAATTTATCTATATAGGTGTCGTTAAAATAAATTTCTGATTTCAGCAACACATTGAAGTTTTTTATCAGTATTAATTTATAATTGTTATGTATAAAAAACAAAAATAATTTATACTTAATATTATAAAGAAAAAAAAAATGTTTATAATGGATAGACTAAAAATACACTGGACCGACTTTGATGTTTGTCTGGTATGAAGATAGTTTGAGATCCTAGGAAGGACGTAGGATAGTTTATGTCGCGGAAGCCAACCCTTAAGGGGGTGAAAAGGAGGATGAAAGTTTGTATAGGGATTTTAAATAATTTCCCTAAGCCTCGGTTGCAACATCAAAAATTAAAATAAATTCGCGAAAAATTCGAAAAGATAGTTTTATTTAAAATGTCAAATATTCGCGTACATCTAGGAAAGTATTATTTGTACAGAGAAGTAATCATTTCTCAAGTAATGGATATAAAACTCATCATACTTATGTATATATATACTAACTAGCAGAACCCGTGGCGTCGATCGCGCTAAAACTGCAAAAAATCTCTAAAAAGGTAGATACCTAGGTTTCATACAAACTTTCATCCCCTGTTTTACCCCCTTATAGGATGAATTTCAAAAAATGCTAGAACAGGATTTTTTTTATTGTATTGATGAGCATTAATATCAAGTTTCAACTAATTCTGATCAGAATTTTTTTTTGGATTGTATTATAAAGTGTTTTCACGTGGGAATTAAGTAATCCCCACACAAAAAATCACGCCAATCCGTCACGCCGTTTCGACGTGAAAGAAAGACAAACAAACAAACAAACGAAGACACTTTCACATTTATAATATTAGTATGGGTATTTAGTGTATGTATTCCATACTAACATATTATATAGACATGTTGTATTATGTAAATGAATAATAAGTATTGAAATGAAATGTAAATAAATTTGATCCAAAGCAAACTAAATTGCTTTATAACAACACTTACTCAATAACACAGTTGCCGCAGTTAACATAACAGCTGGTGGATATCTTTTACGCCACCAGCAAGCGAGCGCTGCGGAGACTAAAGCGGAGCTCCATGATGATGGTAGCATTGCTGACGTGCATACAAAGCAACCTGCTGCAGGGAGGGTTAGACAGAGCCATACTCTACCTACATGTACCCCAAATTCATGACAAACCGCTCTAAAATATAAATTGGACATGTAAAGCCATAACTTTAAGACAAATTGAACATTACTAAAAAAATATTTAGGTATTTTAAAGAACAAAATAAATTGTATTATGAATAATATATGTTAAAAAACATTAATCTAAAAGTAAAATCCATATATGCATATATAATATCACATTACATTTGCTAATGTAAATGAACTTACTTATAAAACATAAGTTCGGCACAAGCTGTTAGGATAGCCAATAAAGCCCTCAGACTATAGAACACAGATACTGGCGTCATAATAAAGGATAATATCTTGGCAGGCACAGCAAATAGCCAAAGAGGCATATAAGAACGTATTGCATATATTGGACTGTATTCCCATGTTTGAAGACCATTGCCATACACTGAAAAACAGAAATGTATCATCTATATTAATCTATACATATAATAAAATTGTAACTAAGCTGAATCTGTACATAAAATACTTTTTGGAAAATCTTATTGAAATAGACTTTATTATTGATACAGAGACTGAATCTAATTTTTATCTTTCTTGTCTGTCTGTCTGTCTGTTACCACATCACAGAAAAACCACTGGAGGGATTTTGATGAAATGTGGTATGGTGATAGTTGGTTATCCGGGTCAACATATAGGATACTTTTTACCCTGGGAAAATATCTCATTTCTGAGAAAAAAAAAATACAAAAACTGCAATGTAAGAGTATACATTATGTAAAAAATAAGAATTGGATTTTTGGTCATCTGAACATGGGTGGATCCGTGGGCAATGCTAGTAATATATAAAGCTGAAAAATTTTTCGTTTGTTTGAAGGCACTTGTGTTTAAAACCACTACATGTTTTAAGTTTTGTACTAACCTAAGTAATGCAATGGTTCCCAGTAATTGTATGTTTCATCACAATCAGCTATCTGTCCATAGTATGCTGATGTAAGACGAGCAATCAATAGTAAAGCTAAAGCTACTGCACCTCCAGGATATGCTATACTTCGTAAATCAGTTGGCGCATTCGTAAATAAATATTCACTGTAAAAATATCGAAGATAATACTTTATAATATTATCAAGTACTCTGTAATTCTAGAATTCGTAGATAATTTATATTGTTATAATTATAGAACAGAGGTGTATTTAGAAGCGATTCAAAAATATCTACAAATGTTAAATAGCATGATTATTACCCTTCGCTGGATTTACGTGATCGTCTGCCTTTATTAAAACTTGCCGATCTCTTGGCTCCATTTTTGTTATGAATACTCCGTTGTCGGGCGGTTAATGGCATTAGAATTGAATAACTATGTTTAATTTCTTAATTATACATTAAAATAAAATCTTGCGGCAATCAATCATACACATAAATATCCAGACATGACAGGAGATTATTTAATTTTGTATATCTGTATTCTGTAGCTGTCAACTGACCAGAAATAACGTGTAAGCTTTGACGTAGAGATAAACAGCCTCAAGACTCAAATAAGGTTATTAAAATTTAGATTTCTGTAGTAATAAAATTTTATACTAAATTAACAGTCATACTTATTTCTTAATTGATCGACTTTTACCGACCTTTAATCTACATTTTTATAAATATTAGACATAAACTAAATAATGAATTTATTGATCGAATTTAGTTCTGCGACTCGCCGGTAGATAATCAATCTACTCACAGTCCACTACAACAACATTGATCCCAACTCCGTAAGGCGGTCTCATTTAAATATTAATAGTTTCCAACCATCTTCCTTCTCTAGATACAAATATTAATTAATATAATAATATAATTAATATAAGTTACCTATAAAAAAGAAATTTAATTTACGAAAAAATTAAAGTTTTGAGGTTTGGTCATTTGTTGCATTTTATGCTTAAGATCTTTTGAAAATAATATCATTTACACTCATCATAAGACATTAATTAAATAAAATAAAGCAAACATTTAGAACATTTATTTATAAATAAAAGTACTCAATAAAATAATGCTACAATAGTTTTATAATAGTACAAAATAATTTCTACACATCAGTAGATACCCAAATGCACTACACATGAAAATGCTATAAGTGCTTAATAATCTTAACAGACATAATATGTAATATAGATTCTAAAATATGATTTATTTCAAAGACATGATGTATGACATTACTTTTAAAAATCAATATTACCAATGTAGTAAAAATAAAGTAGTAATAAAAATATACCAACAAACTTTATAACACATCTACATTTTTTGTATATATTTTTATTGTACTTGCCCATATATTTCTATAATTTCATATCAAGACACAAAATTGTGTAGAACAGTGTCTAAATTTAGCTATGTGCTTATTCTCTATTTTAAAATTTTGCCATTGATATAATTGTATGGCTGATGTAAATTACAAACTTGTGCAGGAAAATCATTGTAGGTAATATTTTTTGTTACTTCATAAATAATTAGAAAACAAAAACTAACTTAAATAAGACTATGAAACGAGATTAAATGCAAAGATACTATTAAGCAAAATTAAAAGAAAAGCTGCAATATTTAAACAATATGATAGTTTTCTTATTATTAGAACAGGGCTTTTCAATGTGCAAATTTTTACATCACATGGTAACATAAATACTACTTAAAATAAAGATGAAATATTTTTTTTGATATGTTTATTTCCTCCTCCGTGTTCTGACAACTGTCCAGCCTGGTTCAGCATCCTCGTCCATAGGTTCTGGTTCATTTTGCTTTGAAGAAGCTGCTGCGGCTTCACCATCCCCTTCAGTATTATCACTTTCTTCATCCCCACTGCTGCTTGTAGTATCATCATCTGGATTCCCATGGCACTGTTGAACAATATTTATACTATTAAGTTGAAGTCATGATATTGTACTACCATGGGTGATGAGGTCGTAGAATAACAAAATAAGTAAATATACTAATGCTAAGAAACTAAGCTTCAATTTTCTTTAACTACAGCCATTAAATAAATCTTTACATTACTTACTTGTGGTGGAACTGACTCATGAATAGGCTCACTAAGCCACTTTTGACATTTGGGCATAGCTTCTATATGAATCATTACTTCATCATGTCTTCCCTCTTTAAGTAGGCCCAAAAAGAAAATAAGTAGAGATGCTACTTCTGTACAAACAGGAAAGTGAATTTAATTATCAATAATTTAGAAGCTATTAAATATTATAGAAATAACATTGAAACCTTACTAATTTGTTGTATACTAGCGACTCACCCTCACTCTGATCGGATTCATCCCTAGTTACATTTTAACATTTAGCTCATAGATATTTTCCCGCAGTAAAAAGTATCCTATATGTTGACCCGGATAACAAGCTATCATCATACCAAATTTCATCAAAATCTGTCCAGTGCTTTTTTTGTGATGTGGTCACAGACAAAAATTCTAATAACAATAGATTCAGCCTGTGTATCAATAATAAAATCTATTTCAATAAGATTTTCCAAAAAATATTTAATGTAAGCATTCGGCTTAGAATTTTATTATATTATGCATAGTTAAGTGATATTTTAAGCAATAAGAAAATTAAGGATTACCTTACCTTTAGGTGAATTGTCATGGCACACAGTTTCAAACTCTTCATCCATCAAATCCTCTAAAAGTTCAGTTAAATCATCCCTGTCTACTACGTTTTCTACACAATACCTTGCTACATAGACCGACATTAATTGCGCAGTCTGAAAAAGATAATGCCGTTATTTTATGTAATTTTGTTTACTTATTCATATACAAATAATTTCAGTTTTGTCTTACTTTTTCTCCGCCTGGGGCACCCATTCCATGTTCAACAGCCAGCTGTAGGGCCGTCCAGTTATTAAATACTAGGTCAACTATGGGCTTGAAATCGTCGTACAACATTTTCACTTATTAATTTTTCCGTAGAACAAAAGAAACTGCAATATCGATTGATATTGTTCACATATTTATAGAATTCTACTTAAAAATACATAAACCCCTAACCTTAGCGACACGATAAACGTCAATATCTATGTCAAATCAAAGCAACAGAAAAGCATGCCGATCTTGCCGACTGCCGACAGCATATATATTTATAATTTATATATGTGGCAATATACTCTATGGCCGACAGTCTGCCCACCAGGGATGCCAGATAACAGTCATTGATTACCCGACCAATTACCCTCAAAATACCCGGTTTATCCTGCCGGCGCGCGGCGCCAACCATGAGCAGAATACCCGAAAGTAGTTTTTTTAAGTAATTTATTTATGTTTTATACAGAATAGAAGAAAATACTAATGTTAGAAAAAGAAGTTATTGTAATCAATTCTCAATTAAAAAGCTTTAAATCTAACATAAAAAAACTGAATGTATCAAATTAATCAGCTAAACTAAAATACCTTTTTTTTAACGTTGGGAAATACATTTACGCATGAGTTGTGAGGCTCACCGGCAAAGCCAGTACTACCCACTAAAACCCAACAAAACTTTCCTCCGTCTTAATGGGGCGTCGTAGGATCGCTTACGCATTCAACTACGACGCCCCGACGGCAGGTCTGCCGAAGCAGACCACAACAACCATGGGATTACTCCAAAGTCCATTCTGCTATCAGAGAGCAACCCGCATGGTACACCACCCACCGAAGAGGGCCACCTCCCACCACCCACCGAAGTGGGCCACCTTCCTACTTTAACCCCGCTCAATGAAAATACCCGTCAAAATTACCAGCCATTATGCCATCACAAAGCCATCAAAAGTCGCCTACAATTACCCGCTTTTCGGGTAATTTACCCGCTAATTGGCTGCGCTGCTGCCCAGTGCCTAATTAAAATGCGCTTTGGTTCGGATACATACAAAATGTTGTAAAATATATCCTGGAATATACTTTTTAGTTGTATTGATTATATTGAAATATTAAGTTCAGAAAAGTTTTGCTTTTATATTAGAAATTTCAAAAATTATTTATTAATTTAATTTGAAAAATAACATCAAGGCTAGTCTATGAATAATATTTTGTTAGAACTGCCTCACTATCTGCCAATTTATTACTGACAAGTGACAACTGACAAAATACAAATGACAGTTGTAAACAAATCGCGCGGTTTCGTGCATTTTAATTCATTTGGAAACAAAAAATGAAATTTATTTGAACATATTTAGTATTAAAAAGTATATGAGCTATTGTGAAATGTATTAATATATTCTTTATATTAAAATGAACGAAGATATAAATGTAGTTTTTATAATTCCATTAGATTGTAGGAGTGAAAATGAGTGTTCAGAAGAAATGCAACTAGCTTTTACTGTAAGATTAGTAGTGTTCTATTTTAAAATTTTATATAAATGATTACTTTTAATTAAATATAAATAAAATTTTAGGCGTGTGAACAGCATAGTGGAGGTGGAATCAAAGCCCAATGGGTGCATCAATCTCAGTGGAAGAAATTCGATGGACTCACGAAGAGAGATGTTTTTGTGTTGTCTGAATTTGAGGGAGAATTATTTAAGAAGTTAAAAACAACAAAATGCTTGTAAGTTACCAGATATAAAAGTACAGTATAATTCATAGAAATCAGGTTTTGATATTGATAGTAAGATTTCAAAAACTGTTATTTTTATAGATTGGTTGGTCCACGTTGTTTGTCCTGTTGTTTAACAGAAGGAACTCCAATACCATCACGTCTAGAACCTGTTTTTACTATTGCTATGCGGGGATTGGTAGTTACTGCCAGTGGATTATCTAAACAGCAAAAGGTGAAAGTAATATTCTTGTAACTGTTTATATATCATTTATTTATTTATTCTTCAGAAGAACGGAAAAAATAAATACAATCTTAACAAAAACTATTTTTCATTTAAATAGGAACATATAAAACAGAGAGTGCAATGGATGGGAGGACTGTATAACACAGTGTTGACGGAAGACACTACACATCTTATTTCTGATACTGTCCTATCAGATAAGTATATTGTATGTTTGTTTTGTTTTTAATTTTTGATAATAAACATAATATATTAGAAATGTTTTGTAGAATAATGTTAAAAATTTTCTTGTTAATTATCTTGCTTGTACAATTTACTTATTTCATTCATACAAACATATCAATAATTTAAATTGGGAAGTAATCAATATAACAAAGTTCTTGTATGGTTTACTTTAATAATAAATAATTTAAGAAACAATAAAATTTAATGGTAAACTAATTTATAATTTTCTATTTTTCTAGAAATCAGTAGAAAAAGGTATTCCTATAATGAAAGAGACTTGGGTGGATGCTGTTTGGCAAGCATCATTACATCTCAACATCAGTGGAGCATCATCTGACTTTGATGAACATAAGCTACCAGCATTTGCTAATTTGCAGGTATAAATATATTTATATTATTTACAAAATAAAACTATCATTACTTCTAATTATCATTATTCATGAAGGCAGTGGTAGCCCAGTGGTAACGCGCTTGCTTGGAAAACTGAGCGAAGGGAGTTCAAATCCCGGGTCATGGACCTCTGATATTTTCATGTGCGAATCATTTCTAACATGATTACCACTTGCCTCACGGTGAAGGAAAACATCATTAGGAAACCTGCACGTCTGAGAGAACCTAGCTAGTTTCATTTCCTAATTGCATTTCCTAAAACTATTATTTGAATTTGTTCATGGATCTGTTTGACCTTGTTTGGACCTTTAAGACCTTGTGTGTCAAGTATTATGACCTTTGAGACGTCTAAAACCTTAGTCTCTCCCGTGACCATGATTGCTGTATAGCATTTGAAATGTTGGGGTATGTTTCCGACAAATAATCAAAATAAATCCATGAAAAAATCCGAAAAGATAGTTTTATTTCAAAATGTCAAATATTCATGTAAATCTAAGAAAGTATTATTTACAAACTTGACTGTTTTAAAGTTTTTGTCTATACCAATTTAAATAAAACTCAAATATTTAAAGCATAAAGAAAATTTAAAGAAAACCTTTTATCGTCGATAACCATATAATAAGTTTATTTTTATCAATGTGCATTGGATATACTGTAGTGCAGTGTGCAGTAATAGGGAATATACGTCGTTTTATTTATACAAAAGCTTTCATTGTTATGTAATTGTAAAAAAGATATTTTTTTACAAGCTTCAATAAAGTAGTATAACTTTTTTTTTAATATAATACCGATACATATACTTTAAACGCTCGCCATTTCGCGTGCTTGGCGTGACTCTCGTGACGTGACAATTTATAGCGACAAAATCGCTAATCGCTCTGTTATGATACTACATTGACGTCATACCTTTTCGGTCTGACCAATGGCGTGCGTTACAACTACTTTGAATTTCCCACCTATATTTGCACTTTTTAATAATTATTTTCTTAATGAAAAAGAAATTACATTAAAAATATTAATAAAGGCTTAATTCATAAGCAATAAATATTAAAAAGAAAAAAAAATTTTTTTTTCGTGTGTATTTGCAATCAGCTATGAAGCTAAGGCTATGAGCAAATCTGTTCTGTGATGCTGTCATGTGGAGCGGCTTCCCATTGGAAGCATCTACTCATCTGCTGCCCAGAGCTACTGTCGGTCCACTAGCTCTAGGATATGATGACGTTTTAGTCGTCTCCCATACTGGTCCATGGTGAGCTGGCGAGCAAGTTTATTAGGGTGGCGAATTAATCGTTCTTTGTATTTAGCTGCCAAACTCCAAATTTCCTCTTTGATTGTTCTCATTTCAAGGTGCTCGTGAACTTCATCATTGGTTATGTACCATGGTACTTTTGCAATTGTTCTTAGGATCTTGTTGTGTTGGCGCTGGAGTATATTTATGTTGGAATCTCTTGCGCTGCCCCATAGTTGCAGACCATATGGAGGCTTTAGGAAGACTTTATATATCAGTTGTTTGTTGTCCAAAGAGAGTCTCGAGTTCCTTCCTAGCATCCAGTATAGGCTGTTGTATTTTAGTTGAAGCTCCTGCTTTTTACATTTGATGCGGTGCCTCCAGGTTAGTCTACGATCAATATGTAAGCCAATATATCTTACATGGTCGGTGTGCGGTAGAGTATATTGCCCCAACTTTACAGGTGTGCAGTCTCCTTTTTTGAGGGTAAATTTCACCTGTACTGGCTTTGCAGTACTAGCCTTTATTTTCCATTTTTGGAGCCACTCGTTTACTTTGTTAAGGCCTTATAAATAAAAATAATTTACCTTTATTTAAATCATACGCATATTCCCTATTAGTAGTATAATAAATATATTTCAATTTGCTCAATTTTTTATTCCTAGGTTACAACATCAGGCATATTGAAAAAAGAAAAGCAAAATATCATAAAGTTAGTGAATGAAAATGGTGGGGTCTTCTCTGGAGCTTTTCAAAGTGAAACAACAGACGTTGTAGTGCTTACGAAGTTAGTATTTTATATTTGTTTTTTTTTTTACATATTTTGTTGAGCCGTACTGTATCTGCTATAATTAATTAGGAATGGCACAATGTTTACGATATTAAAAGCTTGCAAACCGTACACATTCAGTGTTATTTGACATTTCTAGATCTCACTACACTAGCGCCTCTCGCGGCGAATTGCCCTCATTAAGGGCGAAGGGCGAGGGGAAGGCCCTCATTTATTTATTTACTAGATTAAATCTCTAATTACAGAGACGGTGTAGGCAGTGAAAAATACAAAGCTGCATTAGAGTATGGTAAAGCATGTGTTTTACCCAGTTGGGTGGTGGACTCGGCAAGTAAAGGTGTTGCTCTCCCATTGGCCAAGTATAGAGTGGCCGGTGCTTCCACTTCTTCACCTTTGGCTGAGCATAGGCTGCCTGATATGAGTAAGATTTTTTAATTAAATATTAACAAATACAGCTATAATTATGTAATTTTTTGGTACCTATGTTTTAATTTTCTTGAGCTTTTGCTCAATTTTACCCTTAATTATTTTTCTAAAATAAAAGTAGGTACTCTTTATAACATCAGCTATCTGCCAGTGAAAGTCTTATACACGGATACTTTAAACGCCCTGCCATTTCGTCCGCATGGTGTTACGTCACAGTATGATATACACAGAGAAATGACGACGCAATTTGTAAGCGACAAAGTCGTCATTTGCTCTCTTATGATATACTCTGACATCATATTCGGTTTGACCAATGATTTCGTTTCAACTACTTTTTCTTACCTAAATTTGCACTTTTTAATAATTATTTTCTCAATAAAAAAAAAATTACACTAAAAGATTAAAAAGTAATTATCATAAAAAAAAATATTTCACCTTTAGTTAAATCACACGCATATTCCCTATTAGCTCAATGATAGAATTGATAAGTTTTCTAATTATTATGATATATTTAAAATTAATTTATTTAAATTTGATAGGTTTGAATTTTTCGCGTATAACCAATCTCCGACCTCCAAGCAACTATGTGGATGAAACAAGATCAGCAGATGTGTCAACTATGTCTGGGAGAATGAAGGTAGTGTGTTTTTTTAATTTTTTAAGCAAAATTATCGTTGTATATTATCTATGTGTATATTAATAACTAGCGGCTCACCCTTGCTTTGTTCGGGTCTACTCCTAGAAAAAAAACAGTCCTGAGGACTGCCGACAGAAGTGAAAACTAAACAAACAGTTGTTATTTTTGGATTCCGTTCGTCTCAAGGTTGTTTCCCTATAAAAACTTTCATCCCCATTTTCACCCCCTTAAGGGATGATTTCCGGGATAAAAACTATCCTATGTTTGTATGTAAGTATCCTTCCCAGGGTTCAAACTATCTTTTTACCAAATTTCATTTAAATCAGGTCTGTAGTTTCGGAGCCTATTCGGTACAAACAAATAAACAAACAAACCAAAAATTAAATCTATCCTCTTTATAATATTAGTATAGATCATATAATAAACTTATTATTATTATAGTTATCCCAAGAGACGAAGAAGTCGAACGAGACGACCATAGACAAGGACATGTTGGCTGAGTTCGAGAATTTCGATATGAGTCTTATTAAAAAGGCTGGACCTATCTTTGATGGTTTTTGTGTAAGTATGTTATTATTTCACTTTCTTATTGATTTTAAATAGGGGGGAAATATGTTCGCCAATTAATTTTTTTTTTAATTAATATGTTATTTGTAGAACGGTTTCATAAATAAATATATTAAAAAATCCAATTTTAAAGATGCTATTAAAATCAGTCTTAGTTAGATTTTTTTTAAGTCTGTGCACCTTTGTTTAGATAAATAGTAATTATTATGAATGGTAGTCTGATAATTGGGTTACTTTTGTAATTTCTATATACATTATTATGTATAAAGAAATGTAGAAAATTTTGAAATAAGAAATAAAAATCTATGTGTATGTTGTAGATAAAATATATCTTTTTGTTTTTTTTTTAAATTAAAATGTGTGTTGTAAATAAAACTATCCTTATAGATTTTTTCGCGTATTTATTGTGATTTTTGATTACCTACGTTTCGGATGTTACTAAGTAAAAAAGTAGTAATATTTAAAATATCAAATATTCATGTAAATCTAACAAACTAGATAAATATATATAATTATGTTATTTATCTTATTTGAAAAATAAAGACTTAACTGCGTTTCTGTAATAATGAAAGACTTATTTCACTATTAGAATTTAAATACAAAAAACATTTTAAAAATTACACTTATAATAAAATATGATCTCACCTGTAATAATAAAAGAAACAACATTTAAAGCCTCTATTTCAATCTAAATAACAATAAACTAATAAATAAACTCTTCTCGAGGAAAATTTATAATTACATACTATATCAACTATTTTATTAAATGTCAAAATTAAAAACTAATAAAAAATAAAGTAAATTTGGAATCAATTAAAAAAGTATTTATGTAATGAAAAGCACTCGCATATGTAGTGGTTTTCTTTACATATATAATTGATAATTAAAAATCAATAATTGTGTATTAAATAAAAACTCTTTCGGTGAATTGGTCGTTTGCACAAATAAGTAATAATAATATCCTTCTTACTGATTTCGGCCACGGCGGTCAATCTCACTGAGACTAGCCAACTGTGCAGGAGATATTATAATGCTCAAGTACAAGTGCGAACACAAGTGCACTCTATATTCCTTTTACCCGATGGGTCAATACTTCGACATGACGTCACGACCGGGGACAAATAAGTGCCTGAGACCATCGATCAAAAAAGTATTATATACACAATCGGCGTCAAAGAATGTTCTCATCGAATGTGAATTTAAGTGCATTTTTATAGGAAAACGATCTTAAGCACTTCATTTAAAGTTCCATTTACATTGTTATTTCAACTATAATAATTACCTAAACACAATCGGTGACAGTTTTAATAGATTTTTTGCTTGTGTGTATACTTTTTTGATCGACGGATGAGAAGATAAAACCGATTCGGCCATCAGATCTGGATAACGGGTCTGTCGGGCGTGTGCCGCGAGCGCGCGTCGGCGTGCGTGTCGCGCTGCGGCGGCGTGCGCTACGACTGCGCGCACGCGCGTGTGACGCACGCCGTGGCGCCGGTGGGCCCGCGGCGCGCGCCGCCGCCGCCGCGCTGCCGGCAGTGCCGGTGCTGCGCGCCGACTGGCTGCTGCGCAGCGTCGCCGACGGCCGCGCGCTGGAGGAGGCTGACGTTAGTTTTGTTTTTTTTTAATACTAAAGAAGGTAATAGAGCAAACGATCGCGCTGGATGATATCGAGGTGGTTTAGAGTTCCATATCTCAAAAGGACAAAAGGAACCTTTATAGAAAATGTCATTGTCATTTCGTTGTCCGTCCGTCTATCACAAGACACTTTTTAGGCCAGTAAAAATAGACGTTTTTTTGGTCAATTTTGTACTAAATTTCTGATCCAATTTTTTTGTATAATGTCCACTTAGTGATTATAAAATCACAAAATGCTGACAGGTTCAGATGGAGCTTCAAACGCCATCTTGAAAAACGTTTTTTGCCGATATTTCGGAAACTATGCAATTTAGGACAAACATAATTTACGCTAATTTTATATATTAGAAAAAGAATTACACAGTGTTCCGCGCAAAAAATGAAAACCCATGAACAATAAATTGCTAACATTTATATAAATAACGAAGTATAACTTTTTTCCCACAGTTTTTAATAAATACAAAACCCGGCACGCCAGTCAAATCGCGCACGCCGCGCATCGAACCCGCATCACCTATGAGCAAGCGCAACTTGCAGCTGTTGAAACGCGCGCCTCTCGACCTCCCGCCGCCCAAACCTGATGTCAAAGAGGATCAAGATGAGCTGGTCAATCATTATTTGAGTCGTAAGTTCCATTTTATTTTGTTAGTTATTAGTTCTAGTTAGATTAAAATTAGTCCAGCCAATAGTTTTGGCGTTGAGAAGTAAGAAAAATACACACATATGTATGTACTTTTACATTTATATAATATTGTCGCGTAATGAAGAGTGTGTAACGTCATTACATCAAAATAATAATTAAAAAGAAACGTCTGGAGCATGCTTTATGCATCCTAAGACAGTTGTCAAAACATTTCGAAGTGCAGATTGTGAAGAAGTACAAAAAAAGGGAAAAGTAAGGAAAAATTAAGTGAAGCTATAGTGGTAGTGTTCTAGTGGTGAAAATTAGTGTCCAGTGACTGATTTTAACCAGAACTGCTCATATACTGCGCGTGTTAGTGAATCTCCAAAAGTCACTCTTGTTAATCAGGAGTAATAAAAACATCGATAGTGCAAAAAATGTGCTTTAATTTCCGATCCCCGAACTCATAGAACGTAACAATATTTTTAATATTTTAATATATTATTATAATATTTAACGTATTATCGGGAAACGTGTTAATCGCGTTTTTTCAGAAACGACACCTATATAGTTAAACTTAAACATCAAAACCTTAGTTGAATACAAAATTTGATCCAAATCGTTTTAGGGTCGTTTCCTAGTTACACGTAATAAATTTATGTACATATATTACTCATGTTAGAATTACTCATTTAATATTATATAAGCCAAGTGTTATTGTTTTAATTTTGTGAACTCGCAGATCTGTTGTGTGCAGTTTTAGGAAAATTAATGATAAAATGTGTGTGTTGATAACAAAAAAAGTGGATATAACATATTAAATAAAACTATATTTTCGGATGTTTTTGTGTATTTTTTTTGGTTCCTAACGATTCGAATGTTTTAGAGCAATTATGATAACGGGGAAAAAACAGTTTTTTTTATATAAAATGTCAAATATTTGCGTAAATCGAATAAAAAACCCGACTTCGAAAAAGGGAACTGAAAAGATGAAAACAAGTTAACGAAGCAATATAGACGAAGAAACATACTAACGTATGAAATATTAAAGTCAGTAAAATCGATTAATAATTACGAGGGAACATATGATCGGACATATATAATTGTACATACAGGTCAAACACATAACCCACCTTTGGGCTTCGCCGCAGTCTGGTAAAGACGCATCACAACAATCAAACAAACATACACACACAAATCCACATACATACAAACTTTCATAATCATAATAGTGGTGTGATTATAAAAAAATTTTTTTTTTTTAGAAAATATGCTCGAGCCTCAAGAAAAGACGCCGGAACCCGCGCCGGTGACAGATGTGCAGGAACAACCTGATATGACTGAAGATACACTTGATGATCCCACTGAAGAAGTGGAACAGATATTTAGAGGTACGTTTGGCTCAGTTTGTTGTGGCCCCTTATTTGCTGTGCCAGCGATCGCGGGTTCGAGTCCCGCTGGGGGCGTTCATTTATGTGATGAGCACGAATGTTTGTACTCCAGTCATGGTAGTTTATATTTGTAATACGTATGTATTTAAAGTTATATATGTGTAGTGTATCAACTGTCTGGTATCCATAAAACAGGCTTTGTAGATCACCCCCCCCCCAACGTGCATTCACCTTGTCGTGGTGGGGGGGCTCAGTAGTGCCCGGCAATCCAACCGGGCGCGAAGCTAAGAAACGCACAGGGAGGTTGCCCACTTCGGTGGGCGGGGGGAGGTGGCCCTTTTCGGTGGGCGGTGTACCATGCGGGTTGCTCCTGGTACTTCTCTGATAGCAGAGTGGACCTTGGAGCAACCCCATGGTTGTGGTGGTTTGCTTTGGCAGACCTGCCGCCGGGGCGTCGTAGTTGAATGCGTAAGCGATCCTGCGACGCCCCATTAAGACGGGGGAAGGTTTTGTTGGGTTTTAGTGGGTAGTACTGGCTGTATTACGCCGGTGAGTCCCACACGTCGTGCGTAAATGCATTTCCCAACGTTAAAAAAAAAAGGCTTCGTAGATCACCATGGAACTAAATGGTGTTGTGTGTTAATGTCCTGACATATTTATTTATTTATATGTATGTATATGTATTCATATCTTATATTAATGTTTCTATCTTTTGCTCTAATTCATGTATTGTTTTGTCAAATCTCTACTCTTTTACTGTATGAATCGTTTGTTTGTGGAAACTTAAATAAAAAAAAATCATTTCCATTTTCACCCTGTTAAGGGATCATTTCCAAGATAAAAAGTATCCTATGTCCTTCCCAGGGTTTCAAACTATCTTCTTACCAAATTTCATCTAAATCGGTTCGGTAGATCCAGAGATTACCCCCTATAACTTCACAAACTCACAAACTTTACCTCTTTATAATATTAAGTATATATATAGATAATATTAAGTATGTATTGACTAGGTATAAAGATAGAAGTGCAAGGCCTAGACGAGGAGGCTATAAGCGAGATAGGCGCGGAGGTGGCGGCGGCGGGCGGCGTGCTGGTGGCGGGCGGCGCGCGCGGCGACTACGTGCTGGCGCCGCTCGACTGGGACGCGGCGGACGCGGGGGGCGCGGGGGGCTGTGTCACCGTGTTCTGGATTGTAAGTGGCTGTTGTTTTTACAAGCTTTTATTTAAGTCGAAGTTATTTAGTTAGTAACTATTGTATATTGTTTCTGAGATAACAAAAAAATTAAAAACTGACTTCAAACAAAAGCACTAAAAAGTAAAAAATAACTGATTGGTAGTTTTCATTTACTATACATACCTAATCAAATATTTTCGAAGTCGGTGTGCTTTGCTTTGTATGGGCTGCCACCGATTTCGAAAATATTTTATTACGTATGTATTTAATAGGTAGGCTTTAATTACTTAGCCTTTCATAAGATATAAAAATAAAAAGCCAAAAATTTTCTCATTTGAATTTTTCACATAAATTATGAGATTATGTGAAGTTGAAGTGTAAACACAAAAGTTATAGATTTTTTTATTACCAACAACTTTGCTATTTAACTTTTTTCCATATGAATTGTAGTTTTGCCGGAAATCGAGGTAAACAGTTTTTTACCCTTAAACACTTATCCCCTTCCACTTCCCGACCTCAGATCGCTCGTAAATTATTTTTCCTTTCATTTTTGTTTTAGTTATATACTCTTCCTTTTCCAATGGGTTTCATCATACTATTACTTTTTTTCTCATTTATTACCATTTTTAAAAGCTTCAGTCCTGATCTAAACTTCATCATGTTGCGGTGTACGCGCGCATAGTAAAAATTTTACACTCATAATTTTTTCTAAATGTGCCAAAAGAAGTATATTTTCGAAAATATGAATATATATTTTTATACAAATTACAGAAAGACTGTCTGTCACAAGGAGAGCTTCTGCCGGTGCAGTACTACCACCGGCCGGTGCGGGTGCCGCAGTGGGCGGCGCGCGGCCCGCTGGCGGGCGTGGTGGCCAGCCTCAGCACCTACAGCGGGGTGGAGAGGGCCTTCCTCGATGAATTGGCCAAGTTGCTTGGCGCTACGTATGTTTGTTTTTAAAAATTTTATATTGAATTCTATTTTGAATTATTATTACTCTTTTTGATGCCTTTTTAAATATATGTTTAAATTTTAACTTGTAAATGAAATAGCTATTTGAACGATAGGTACCCAAATATAAAAAAAAACCAAACAATTTTTGAAAGTTTTTTTGTCTTCTTGTTTGTATCAAAGTATAAAAAAACGGCATAATTTAGTTTTGTAGCATCTTAAGCAAAATAATAAATATAAAACTAATCTTATAAACAATGTTTATTATGAAATATTTCATCTTTACTTATTCATAAATAAAATAAAACAAACGCACAATTATAAACAATTGCAGCATACAATAAAGACTATGCGTGTTATTTAAAAAAGGTGATTTTTTAATTCTTTTTGATTAAGAAAATAATAATTAAAAAGTACAAATATAGGTAGAAAATTCAAAGTAGTTGAAACTAACGCCATTGGTCAGACCGAATATGACGTCAAAGTATTATCATAAGAGAGCGATTAGCGATTTTGTTGTTACAAATTAAGTCGTCATTTTCTCTGTGTATATCACACTGTGATGTCCCGCTAAACGCGCGAAATGGCGGGCCTTTAAAGTGTCCGTATCGGTATGATATTTCGGTATAAAAAAAACAATTGTATACTAAATCTTAGTTATTTGGAGCTGGATATTTTTTTACAATTATATAGCTATTGTATGACCGATACAAAACTCATCAGTACCCATATACTTGTCCCCACAGTACACAACTCCGTTTCTGCCGTCGTAACACAGCAAATGCTCAAGCCTCAACCCACCTCATATGTCCCACGCCTACCGGTGATAAGTACTTGGGCGCGGTGAAGTGGGCGCTGCCGGCGGTCACGGCGCAGTGGCTGCTAGATTGTGCTAAAGAAGCTCGTAGAGTGCACGAAGGACCGTATTTAGTTGGTGAGACTAAAGGTGAGAATAGTGATGGACTTTTGTATGAGTTATGCTTGCCTGGTACTTGTAGCCTGTGAGTGAGATACTGATATATGGGGTATGATATGTGTGGTGAGAAGGCCCTTAGGTCTTCGACACGTAGTCGATATCCTCTAGGGATTTACTGCCTCGGTGGTGTAGTGGCTAGCATGTACGGCTGCACACTCGGAGGTCCTGGGTTCGAGTCCCGGGTCGGGCCAAGTTTAGTTATTGAGTCTTTCTGTATAAATGAGCTTCAGTAACAGCCCCGAGTTGGGAAGTTGGCGGTGTTTCACCCCCGTGCCTCGGAGAGCACGTAAAGCCGTCGGTCCTGCGCCGACACTCTCACCGGTCGTGTCTCGCGTCGTCCCACCGGAGTATGAGAGTGACAGGAATAGAGAGTGCACTTGTGTTTGCGCATACACGCGCTGCACTATAATCTCAATGAGATTGGTCGCCGTGGCCGGTATCGGCTAGGAGAACATCATCATCATCATCCTCTAGGGAAATCTAGCTCTTTTATAACTATAAAACTCACACTCTTGGCGTTACGCGGCAAGCGCCGTATTAATAAAGACAAGTTTGATGAAATAAATGTAATGTTAATATAATGTTTTGATTTTCGGTCATGGCCAAGTGGACTAAAACTGACCAATAAGAATGACGTAAGATATATAAAATATAAAATAAATAAATATGTTGAGACATTAACACACAGCAACATCTGGTTCCATGGTAAGCTACGAGGCTTGTGCTACGAATACCAGATAGTTGATACACTACTCATATATAACTTTAAATATATACATATTATAAATATAAACACCCATGACTGGAGTACAAACATTTGTGCTCATCACATAAATGAATGCCTCCAGTGGGATTCGAACCCGCGACCGCTGGCATAGCAAGTAGGGTCACTACAAACTGAGCCAAACGTGTCGTCAATATTGCTTTCCTGTTACTTGTAAGTGAGATGAAAGGTAATAAATATAATATTGAGATTTCGTATGATTTATACTTTCCTGGTACTTTAAGGTTTATAAAGAAAATAATATGCATATTTACAGCACCGCCGTTACCAGTGCAGCCAGAACCAGAAGAAAGTGAGGAAGTTGACAAGCAAATACATATAACAGATAAGGACAAGGAAAACGCAATGCTGCCACCTACTACGAATGCACCACGACGGGGTTCTTTACAGAAAGAACAAACACCTATAAGGAAAGTTGTAAATGGTAAATAAACTTATTATTAAAAAGTGCTAATATAGGTGGGAAATTGAAAGTAGTTGAAACTCACGACATTGGTCAGACCGAATGTGATGTCAGAGTATTATCATAAGCGAGCGATTAGCGATTTTGTCGCTACAAACTAAAGTTGTCTTTTTTTTATGTATACACGTTTTGACGTCACGCGAAGCGCGCGATATGGCGGGCGTTTCAAGTATTCGTGACGGTATGATATTAAAAAAAAACTTATACTTAATTTTAAGTTTTTTAGAGCTGGATATTTTTTTACATTTATATATATATATTGTATAAAATAATCAAAAAAAAAATAATCAATCATATTCCCTATTCGTACATCGACTTAAGCTAACATTGTAGAACAAGTGAACGGAATATGGAAGATGACCTTAGATATTGACGTTTATTAAGTTGTTTTTCTAGTTTTGTAAATTAGAATAACTATATTTAAACGTCTCTAAAAAGGTCACTTGATTATGAAATATCGGAAGAACAAATTGTAGATGGACGTGGAGATTACATGATGCTTATTTTATTCTTACCATAGACATTATGGTGTAGTTCTCATGTTTTTGCATTTTTAATGGGTTCGATTAGCGGCTCAGGTGAGCCTTTTAACAAAACTTATCTGCAGTTATTGTTTTTTTTTTAAAGTATATTTACTTTGAGAATTTGAGAAAAACTTGATATTCTCGATGTTTTTCCATGTCCCGTTCTTTTGCTCCATAGTAGACATATTAACAATTATCTAATACTTCTTATTTAACAAACAATATATAAACAATACGACCGAACAATATACCGTAAAAGAAAAAATATATATTTATTATAAGAATTATTATATATTTTTTTAAATATAGAGCTTGAAAACTATATAATATATATTTAGTATATTTTTTATTCATATACACAATTTTTTTTCTAGACGGTGGCGATACAGATAACATGTCGCCTGCTTCACGCTATATAGCGATGGCACGTCAGGGACTTTTAGGGTGCGACTCTCAGGAAACTCCTAAACGGTTGCAAGAGTTAAAAGAAGACGATCAACAAGGTAAGTGAAATAAAATGAAATGGAGTTAAACTCCATTTAATTAGATTTATACAAACACTTTGGAATCGTCAATTTATTGTTGTGAAGTGCACACGAGGAATTCAATAGTTGTTCTTTAAAATATCAACGAGTTACATTTTGTTTATTTTGTTAGCATAACATTTTGTTTATTTTATTAACACGAATTGGTGGCGGAAGGTGACCTTCTACAGCTGAATAAATTTTCTAAATCCTTCAATTCATATTAAATAAAATATTATTTTCTTCTCTTTCCTTCCCTCCCGTCTCACCTCCCCTCTCCCTTGCCCCTATCCCCTCCGCCTCCCTTCTCGTCTCTTCTCTTTTCATTCATTGCATTCATTTATCCCAGTACATAGTATGAAACAAAGTCGCTTCCCAAGGTCTGTCTGTTTCTATGTATGCTTAAATCATTAAAACTACGCAACGGATTTTGATGCGATTTTTTTGTAATAGATAGAGTGATTCAAGAGGAAGGTTTATATGTATGATACATGCATATTATAGTACAGAATAACCGAGAAATTCAAAGATTTGTATTTCATAGTAACCATTCAATAATCCATGTACCTTTCAGGCGCGTGCACAGTGCGCACGCCGCCGCTGGAGGAGGCGCTGTCGTCGCCCAACCTGGCGGCGCTGAGCCCCACCACGCGGCGCCGCCTGCGCGCGCTGCGCCGCGGGGAGATGCCCTCCGACCCCATCCGGACACCCATAGACCCATGTGAGCCTGCTAGAGATGCCCTTCGATCCCGTCAGCACACACATAGATCCTTATGAGTTGATTGGGAGTTCGTCTAAGTGCTTATTTTTCCAAACGACCGATTGATTGTGATGTTAATTTTATTTGATGATAAATACACATTTTGTTTTAATAAAGCTAATGAAATGTATTTTATCTGTGTTTGTTTGTATCTATGTATGGATACGAATCTTAGATGTAAAGCTTTGTTTTTAAATTGAGAATGAAAATGAATGTTAGAACAAATAAGCATAAGGCATAATATACATTATCACTTTGGTCGCGGCTTCGAATCCCGCTAGATGCATTCATTTGTGTGATGAGCGCGAATGTTTGTACTCCAGTCATCTTATTTAAATGTCACTTGTGAGTCGTGGTTAGATGTTTACATTTATGTTTGTGTTTAAAAAGTTATCAACTATCTGGTATCCGTAACAATGAAATCCGTAACTTACAATGGAACTAGATAGTGCTGTGTGTTAATGTACTAACATTTTATTTATTTGTCAGTCGATAAGAACACAGTGACGCCGGATAGCGCGTTCGGCGCGGCGCTGCGGCCCGGCTCCGGCCTGTCGCCGGACGCGAGGAAGCGGCTGTGGCGTGTCGTCAGCGACCTGCCCACCAAGCAGCCTCAGATAGCCAAAGACAAGCATACTGTTAGTGTTTCTATTAGATTGGATTTCATTTTTTGACTAGCGACTCACCCTCGCTTTGCTCGGGTTCATCCCTAGCTCGCTTCCCAATACAAACTTTCATCCCCATTTTCAATCCCTTCAGGGATGGTTTCCGGGATAAAAAGTATCCTATGTCCTTCCCAGGGTCCTAAACTATCTTCTTACCAAATTTTATCTAAATCGGTTAAGTAGATCCAGAGATTACCCCCTACAACGTCACAAATTCACAAACTTTACCTCTTTATAATATTAGTATAGATGTGAAATGTCTAATGCGGCTGGTTAAACCGGCTGTTGGCGTGGCGACGCGTCGCCACGCGCTCGTAACTCTCAGACTCTTCCCATTCGAGCTCTTATTTAGATTTTTAATTTTTATTAATTGTCTTCGATATCGTTACTAAGGTGTCACCTTTAGACGATCCATCCAACAAAAATAATACGTTATGCCTTCTTTAATATATATTTTTTAATTTCCAGCCATTATCTGAAATTCGGAATCGATTTTTGGCACAATTCAACGGCGACGCACCAACCCCGCCGTCCGAGCATCACGTTGTACCAAGGAAGCTGCAATTACAGGTGAATTCATAGATAAAGTATGACTCTGAGCAACACTCTCATCAAATTGACCACTCTCTAGAAAGAGAGAAGTAAGTGAGTAGAGGGAGTATATTATTTATATAAAAATATAATATTTATAATATTATTGAAATTTATAATATTATAATGGTATTGGTATGGAAATGGATATAAATATCTATCTTCATTAATCATATTTCAATGAATACAGAAGACTTCTGGCCGCACATTAGTTTTGTCTCTGTCGCACTTTTTCGCCATTTTTAGCTGACTGCTGGCAAAGAAACAGTATACTCTATATCTATGGGTGAATTACATAATAATAATGTCCTTCTGACCGATTTCGGCCATGGCGGTCAATCTCACTGAGATTATACTTACCTGTACAGTTAAATATGTTAGTGCATAAGTTTTTAAAGTTGTATAGAATATTAATTTTTGTGTCTATAATTTTTGCAGGACCAAGCTGAAACTCCACCACCTAAAATGGCGAAGCTCTCCGAAGATCAAGTACGTATCAAATACTAGCCATTAACCTTCGCTTCGCTCGGGTTCATCCCTAGTGATAAACAAAAGGCAATTCTATCCCACGGGAACCGTACATCGCATTTGTAATACTTATATGGGATTCATATTTTTGTACTATTTAAAGTGTTATTGCGTCACGTTATTTATAAATCTTCGAGCACAATATTTTCTATTTTTTTTTTTCAAAAATTATATAACTTTTTTAATCCTTCATTATTTAAGATTTTTTTAATTTTTTTTTACTTTACTTAGCTTTAGTATCTTTTAAATTAATTTCTACAATAAAAAAAAAAACAAATTAAATCCTATATGCACTTCCAGAGCGCGGGCGGTCTAAACATAACGGAGAACAACGCGACCCCAAAAGCCGCTTCAAGCGCTTCGACCCGCAGCAGCACGCTGCCCGCCGCCGTGGACCAGCAACTGCTGCGGCTGAACGCAGCGCTGTCCAGCCGCTTGAGCTCACAGAAGAAACGGGCGAGAGATTCTGTCACGATTGTACCAGGTGATATAGTGTGTTAATACCTCGTCTGTCGATCGACCTTTTAAAGGTCGATGTCAAAAACACCCCTGTCTGTCAAGCGACCTTTTAAAGGTCGATTGGTCCCGATGTCATTTAATGTGTGATTTCTCGCATTTAAACTATATTTATTTTTATCTAACTTTTGTAACGTGTAAAGAAAAATACAAGCAATAATATCATACTACATGTCAAAAAAGTAATAACTCCAATAACATAAATTATTGTAATTTGTGCAGACAATTTATTTAAATTTTGGCGATCTTTGAACTCAATACTTGTGAGTAAAAAATTAACAAAATAGTGTAAAATTATTAGTATAAGGATTGGAATATGATGGAAGGGTAAGTAATTAACAGTTTTTATTTCATAGGATGTGTATTGAATAGAGATTTTATACAGAAATTGTTATATTTGTCAAACATCGTAAGCATTCACGCGCGCTTAGTCCTTATATTTTCACTTTTTCTGAATAAAAAAATACACTAGTGATAGCATAATATTTTATTAACATGATTTAAATTTATAACTAAATAATTACGTATAATTGAATTTGTAAATTTTCTATTAGATTTTAAGTAATTAATAATATAAAATAACACGTAACCCAAATTCGAGCCGCCATTTTTGACGGCTGTTGGATAGTATGGGGAAGGCTTTTTTAATATTCATTTAGAATATTTTCATTGATGTTTTTTTAGGATATTGAAATTTAATATTTATAAATATTTTAACTGTTTTTCTAAAAAAAAAATTGAATTTTTTAAAACAGTACGATTTTTATTTTACAGATATAAGTTCAACTTACACATTACTTTAAAACATTATAAAAATAAAAAAACCTAACTGCATAAAAGCTAACTAAAAAGATACAAACAAGTTGACGAAGGAATAAAGTATTATGCAGTTGGTGACATACACATGTACATCTCGCGACAATGATGAAATATATTTTTTTATTTACAGCTTTTTAATTTTATTAGAAATTTGAAGTTATAATAGGTCTTTTGAAATTGCCGTTCTACAATACTTACTGGCCATTGGAAACGTAATTTATGATTGGCTGGCAATAAATTCTAAATTCAAATGAATTTTATTTTAAAAGTATGGAGTTCTATTTTTTAATTCAGTCGTTTGTTTATTAATTAGTGTTTTGTTTTCACTACATTTGTTTGTTTTTCATCAATATAAACACAATAAAAATACGAGTAATTATGAAATACGAGTTCCATCGCGGTAGCAATCCCGCACAAACGGCTCGCAACATTAATGACGCGTACGGAGTGCCGAGTGAACACTACAAACGAACGCACAACTCGTTATTGGTCTGAACACTTCCAACATCGAAATTTTGATCTTAAAAAATTAACCCCGTGGTCGCCCGAAAACTAAAATCAGTAACGACGCATTAAAGGCGATAGTGGAAGCTGACGATACTCAATCTGTGGCTGAGATAGCAGCATCTTTCAATGTTAGCATCAAAACAATATTGGTCCATTTGCATCAAATTGCATCAATAGCATGGGTGCATATTTTGACTAATAGAAATGAAAAATATTTGTAAAAATACAATACTTTAACTTTCTGTATATTAAACGACAATTTCATAGGTAAAGACTTAATATTTAGCAATTTCTTATCCCAAATTACCTTTAACATGTAAGTTGTGTTCTCTTAATTGTTTTTGTGATCACCAAAAATCTTTGTTTTAAGAGCCCATTCGATTGATTTGGAAAAATTTTTTACAGACAAATTGGCGCCTGATATCCGCCATTTTACTTTTTAACTATTTTTAATTTTTAACTATAACGCGAGTATTATAGGCTATATATAGCTTATGACACTCGCGTAAATACGAAACTAACGACATATGAATCATAGAAATCGGCCCACGCGTTTGGTCTCTAGAGTGTCATACATACATATGTACATACATACATACATAGACTGATAAACACATTACCCTCCTTTGCGTCGCGCAGTCGGGTAAAAAATAAGTTTATTTGCATCTCTTATAAAAAACTAGTATCATGTTGCATTTTATGTTTATTGAAACCTGCCACCAAAATTGCTTAAAACATGCCTTATTAGATTACAATATTATGATCGGAGGGTGAACAAGAAAGACCAATTGTAGGCAATGTACCCCATAGAGCGAAAGCGAACAAGGGTGTAGTATAAATAACTGTTTATTAAAAAAACCCGACTTCCAGGCACTAAAATGTAAAAAATAGCTAAGCGGAGGTTTTCATTTAGAATAGATACCTAATCAGATATTTTCGAAGTCGGTGCCAGCCGACAATATTTTAAGATATGAATATCTAATACGTAAATATGAATTTTATGTATCGAAATATATTAGTTTTACTTTGCATCGGCTGGAACTGACTTCGAAAATATCTGATTTATATATTATACCACGCCTTTGTTCGTTTCGACGACGTTACTGAACATCGAAGACGTGGTGAACATTATATGGGAGGAGGTTAGTATAGTTACTTATGTATCTTTACTTAGTAATAATTAGTATTTTTTGCTTTTAGGATAGGTGTTCATCTTTTTTTTTCATTTAAAATAAATATGTATAAAAGCCTCTACCTGCAAGCAATATTCATTAAAAAGTGTCCTTTACCTAACAAAAGGCATCCAAAATTTTCTACTTCAGATTTAAAACATCTGTGAGTACTAATTACAGTTTTTATACTCTACTATATATTTTTTTTACTACTATAACTATGGAGTCCATGAGTATTTACTCAATACAGTAACTGGCACAATACTTCAATCTTATAAAATATAAATGAAAAATTTAAAAGTAACCCCGACATGTAATTCACCATTTTGTGGTGGCGACCATCTTGGATTCGAAAATTATACTAGTCAAGCCCAACAAAAAATTAAACAAGTCAATTCATTTGATACCCATATTGAGGGAGTTGTGAAAAAATATGTAATCCGCTATTTTGTGGCGGCGGCCATCTTGGACAGATTTTCATCAAACATAGCTAAGAACACTTCCGAATTATTCACCTTTCAGAGAAAAAACAAAAACAAAATCGGATGATCTCTTCGGGAGCTACCATACCACAGACAGACACACACGCAACACACAGCACGTCAAACAAATAACTCCCCGTAGTTTTTGCGTCGGAGGTTAAAAACAGTAGAAAGAAAGTAATTCCTCTCCAAATTAATATTTAAAGTTGTTTTATTTTGAATTGATGTTTTATTATCATTTTATTTCCATAACATAATCTGTTCAGATGTGATGGAATTGGTCGTATCCATACTTTTTTAGCTGTCCCTTGTAATTCTTATAGTAAAATTGTTAGTTTACAGAATTGATTTCTGAAATATTCTAATAAGGCAACATGTCTTTTTATTATATTTTTCATTTTGAAATATCACTTAATTGTAAGTTGTAAATATATTTTAAAGAAAATTTAAACAGAATTTGCTCTGCGATCCAAAGTTTGAGATGACATTTTTTAGCACTTATTTTCTAGTGTTTGGTTTATTGTTCAATTCTCGTAAACTAAATAGTTATAAGAACTCAAACTTTGTCAGTATAACGTACGTGGACTAACTATAATATAAAATGATTATCCTAAATCTCTTGATCTTCAATGCTCTTAGAATTCAAGTATAAAAAACACCTCTTTTTTTTATCCGGCGCTAAGTCGCCATAATTGAAAAACATGTTATTGTTAAGCTTGTGGTGTAAAAAAATGTACAGTGAGTTGTGTTGTTTTTTAATCAATTATATAAAATATTGTATCTATAATTAAATGAAATTAAAAGTTTTTAAAATAATAGTTTTAAAAAATTTTATAATAATTCCTGTTTTCATACTATATACTGATAAAAAATCACTTACAGTAATTTCAACTTAGAATTAACTATATAATATTAAATACAATTGATCTTATTTATATATATATCCTTAGTTTATTTTAAAACGATTCTAACGATATAAGCTTTATATATAGCTTATATATAAAATTTTAATAAATATTGTTATTTTAATGATGCGTACATATTTCGCGCAGGCCCTCGAAAAGTAGCCGACAGATGCGCCATATTTTTGTAAAATGACAGCGACAGTTGAGGGGTTATATAATATATGTCTAGTCTCTAGTGTATAACATTCTCGTGTCACAGGGTTTGTAACAAAACTCCTCCGAAACGGCTAGACCGATTTTTATGAAATTTTGTGCGTATATTTAGTATGTCTGAGAGTAGGACGTAAACTATTTTTCATACCCCTAAGTGATAAGGGTGGTTCATTCTAGGGATGAAACCGAGCTGAGCGAGGGTGAGTCGCTGGTATCGTTATAATATTAAATGAGCTATTCTTATTCATATTACGTATTTCGTTTCGGAAGTGGCCTCTAACGATTTGGATCAAATTTTGTATTTAGATAAAGTTTTGCTTTTTTAGTTTTTATATTATAAAAAAGTAATTTTTCTCAATAAAAAAAACGCGTTTTTAGAACTAATTTTTTTTAGTCAATAATCCTGTATTTAAAAACTCTTTTGGTAAATTGGTCGTTTACACAAATAAGCTCTAAGACAACCACTTATATATAAGTGTGACAATCGATATTACCCGCCTAATTTCAAAAGTCTAAGTTCTCTAGTTCTATTTAACTAAGTTTTGTGTGAATTATACTTACATATTTCTTTTTATTCCATCCAGCACCTGAAGTGGAAGCGGGGTCCGACTCTCAAGTGAACACAGTGGGATGGGATGACACCACTCCAGCGGTTAAGATATTTATGTTGTCTTCCAATGTAGACGTGAGTGTTTTTATCTATTGTTTTACTTTTATATCTATACATATAATATAATTATAACTGAGTCGAAGCTGTACATTAAATATTTTTTGGAAAACCTTATTGAAATAGTAGTAATCTTTAGTTTTTAGAATTTTTGTCCTCTGTGTGTCTGGGAAAGCATCACGAGAAAACCTCTGGACTCATTTTGATAAAAATATCTCATTTCTGAGAAATCTATACTAACTGTTAAAACGTATCTATTGACGGACCCGAGCGCAGCGGGGGTGAGTCGCTAGTTTTAAATAAAACTATATCTTCGTGGATCTATTTTTATGTTTTTTTGAAAAGTAATACAATATATATACAGAACCGCGAGGAGATAATGGAGATGATCACACACCTCCGTGGTGCGGTGTGCGAGGGCGCGGAGCCGGACGCGCGCGCCACGCACCTGCTGTGCGCCGCGCCCGGCCGCAGCGAGAAGATGCTGGGCTCCGTGGCGGCGGGGCGCTGGGTGCTGCACCCCGCCTACGTCGTGCGCAGCCGCCAGCACGGCGGGTTCCTTGATGTTGGTGGTGTTTTTTTTTCGCTGGTAGTTGCTGGTAGTGGGGTGGTGGATGTTGTTTTTTTTTTATTTTATTTTTTTTAACGGTTTTCAATTCGTTGGATTTTTTATGTATGTTCACCGGTTAGTCAAAGACGCTTAGACCGATTGGGAAAATTCTTTTTTTTTGTTTCACGTTTTGAAAGTATACTTCCCAGGTGGTGGGCTCTATTTATATTTAATGCAAATTGGTCGAGTGGTTTATAAAAAATCGACAGTAAATTATTTTTAAATATTTGGCTAATTTTTATCAATTAATATTATATATTATGCTATTTAATCGAATATGTTATTGAAAAAAATATTTTTACAAATTACCTGTCTATTAAGTCTACACTAAAAGTAGAAAAATAAAAAGTTTGAAAAAAAAACCAACTTCCAAACACTAAAAAGTAAAAAATAACAAAACGAGGGTTTTCATTTAAAATAGATACCTAATCAGATATTTTCTAAGTCTATCGTATATCGAGAATTAAAATATCGATTATTCATATCGATTGATTTCTGATAAAAATGATTGATATATCTATATTTCTTATCCAAGATTTAAAATTTAAATTCATCCGTTCGGATTTTCTCGCGAATTTATTTTGATTTATGTATGTATGTATGTATATTATATATAACCAAATTTTATTTAAAATGTCAAATATTCGAGTAAATCTAAGAAAGTATTAATTAAAATTTTCTATGAACAGGAGGAGGAGTTCGAGTGGGGCAACCCCCGCGCGACGTCGCTGCCGGCGGCGGGCGGCGCCGAGCGCGCGCTGGCGCGCGCCGCGCACCGCTGGCGGGTGGCGCGCGCGCGGCGCCTGCCCGGGCCCTTCGCTGGTACCTACTATCTATACTATATAAAAAAATTCTAACTGAGTCGAATCTGTACATTAAATATTTTTCGGAAAATCTTATTGATATACCTAGTCATTATGACCGATACAGAGGCCGAAACTATAGTTTTTTGAATTTTTGTCTGTATGTCTGTCTGTGACCGCATCACGGAAAAACCACTGGAGGGATTTTGATGAAATTTGGTGTGATGATTACTGGTTATCCGGGTCGACATATAGGATACTTTTTAATGCGGGAAAATATCTCTGAGAAGTCTAGGGACGAACCCAAGCGGAGCGAGGGTGAATCTCTTGTAAATAATCACAATTAATAAAATCACATGTCTGCGCATACTAACATAAATGTATATAAAAAATATATAACTTATCATTATTAAATTATTTATTTTAATTAATATATTTTTTTAATAATAATTACTATAATAATATATACTATATAACTAGGTACTATCGCCCTACTCCACGTGCCGGCGGCGAGGAAGCGGCTCCTCGCGCGGCTCATAGAGGCCGGTGATGGCACTGTTTCTGAGGAAGAGTGAGTATACATACACAAACACACACACACCGCTCACACACACACGTAGGCACGCACACAAAACAAATTTTATGTGATTATTCTTGAAAAAAAAGATTTCCACGTGGGATAAATGGTACAAATTGCATGATTTATTATTTATTTTTTATTTATAATAGCCCATATAACAATAGTATATAATATAGTAGACATACCCCGTGCAAAGAAATTAGATTGCTTCATTTATTTTTAATTAGAAATATTTACTTAGAAATAAGGAAATACTCTTTTATTTTATTGACATTTTTATGAGCTATTTTTTTTCTTTTAAAATCTAATATCATGATTATAGGTATCACTTTTCATATCTAAATAACAAAAAACTTGTTCCAGGCCGCCATATACCAATGCGAATATAACAGTATGTTTCGCGGATATAAAGCGGTATCCGCTATCCGAGAGGGATACAGCTTGGCTCATATCTAATAGGATACCAGTATGTCCGCCTGTCCTGCTCAGCTCCTACCTAACAGATGAAACTACACCGGACCCCAAAGACCACTGCTTGCCGGATTTTAAATTGAAATAAAATATTAACTTAGTGATGCGATTGAAGATCAAAAATGTTAAAGGTGTTGCAATATTAAAATAATAAACTTGATTGTATATCATTTCAAAAATAGGTTTTATTTTAAACTAGCGACTTATATTCGCTTCCCTCGGGTATGTCCCTAGGTAAGCGGCTTTTATTTTTAATTTCACGTGTTTTAATTTTTTACGCGGAACCCTAATTCTTTTTCTAAAATAAGAGTAGCCTACGTTACTCCTTATAATATCAGCTATCTGCCAGTGAAAGTCCCGTCAAAATCGGTCCAGCCGTTTCGGAGATTAGCCGGAACAGACGACAAACATTTTAAATTTATTTTTTTCTTATTAGTACGTAGTTAGTTTATTTATCTGTATGTTCAGATGTCAAATATTCGCGTAGATCTAAGAAATTATTGTATAGTAAAAACCAATAATTTAATATTTCAATAATAATAAAATGTGCCTAACTTGAAGATATTAGCAATAAAACAGAAGTTCTAAACATTTGACTTTTTTTTAAAAGAAATTGGTTAAAGGATATGTAGAAACATATCCTTTATTTGCATTTTTGATCTTTAATTTTATCTCTGAGATATAATATTATACACATACATACATACATTATTATGACATTTGACAATATTATAGATGATGAATAAAATAATAATAATATGGCCTTTTTATTTAGTAAGTAAAAGCGTTGTCAATGGCTTGACTCTATTGGTTTACGAACGCATATCAGTAAAACTCAATCTGCATGATTTTTTTCGACATTTTCAACAATCATTGTAATATTTTAGCCAATTTACACAAAACCTTAATGAATTATATACCTAAACCTTCCTCCTTGGTGAAAACCGTATGAAAATCCGTTTGGTAGTTTTTGAGTATATCGCGCTCAGACAGACAGACAGTTGTGTCGGGGGTACTTTGTTTTATAATATTTTATTATAATTTTATATAGTACTAGCGACTCAACCTCGCTTCGCTCAGGTTCGGCTCAGGTTGTTTCCCCATACAAACTTTCACCCTCTTAGCGGATGATTTCCGGTATAATAGCTATCTTATGCCCATCCCTGAGTTTCAAACTATCTTACCAAATTTCATCTAAATCGGTTTAGTAGTTTCGGAGCCTATTATTCGATACAAACAAACAAAAAACAAAATTTTCCTCTTTATAATATTAGAATAGATAATATTTTACAAATAAAAATAATAAGAGTGAAGCGGGTTCAAATCCCGGGTCTCGCACCTCTGATGTGCGAATCATTTCCAACATGACTACCACTTGCCTTACGGTGAAGGAAAACATCGTGAGGAAACCTGCATGTCTGAGAGAACCTAGCCAGTTTTCGAAAGACATGTGAAGTCCGCCCGCACATGGCCAGCGTGGTGGACGTGGTAACTCCCCTCGTATTGAATGAAGGCCCACCCCTAGCAGTGGACCATTAAAAATGGCTGAATTCAATTCAAATAATAATATATAGCAGTGTAAAATAAAACCATGATATTAGGCAGGCTATTGAAAATTCAAAGGAAAGGTTTGAAAAAACTATTAAAATAAGAATATCCTTGAGAATAAAATGAGTTATTTTGTACACAAATGAACGGTTACACGTGTTTTAGATATATATGTATGTACATAGAGTACTAAACAAACTAATTCATTTACATTGTAAAATATACATATTGGTTCTATTGTACGTGTCGCTTAAAGTTTGTCACGCTTTATCTTAATCATTTGCTATTAAAATTACTATGTTTTTGACCGACTTCTTAAAATAGGTGGTATATTTGATTATATTTTCTTTGTACGTTACGCGAAATATTCGCTGATAGTTAATACATTTTTTTTTAATACGTCAAGCGTGATCATGTTAATTTAAAAAAAAACACTTCGAATGTTGGAATAATTTTTACTTTTATGAGATGTTGAAGTTGACGCATTTTGTTTCTACTCGATTGTTGCGGACCCTTAAAGAGGGTTATGTAAAGCCCACCAATTCGCACTTAGCCAGCGTGGTGTATTATGGCATGATCTCCTCTCGTATCTATATCAAAGTTAGCCCCGTGCCCAGCAGTGGGACTTCTATTATTATACTAGCGAGTCACCCCCGCTCCGCTCGAGTTCGTTCCTACGTTTTAATGTTAGTATAGATTTCTCAACGATGAGATATTTTTCCGCAGTAAAAGGTATCCTATATACCAAATTTCATCAAAATCGGTCCAGTGGTGTGCATTCCATACATACAGACGGACAAAAATTCTAAAAAGTATAGATTCGGCCTCGATATTTATTTATATTTATTATATGTATAGATAAAACACTTTACTTAGAAAATTTTACTACTTAGTGCGTTTCCTTTTATTTTATTACTTTGCTCATATATTATTATAACATTTTTTCGATCTTTTGAGATAAAATATAAAATAAACATAACTGCTAGGTATTTTTAGCTCGCCGTTTAATTTCCATGAATAGAATACGTTGGTCAGGGACAGTGTGGCTTTCTAATAATAGAAGCACACGCAATATTGGCTTAGTAGTTTCAAGATCTTCGTATAAATAAATAATGTACTCATGAAAAAATAAACATCGAATTACAAATAGCGAAATTAAAAACAAATATAGATAAAATTTTATAATAATATTATAAATCTATACATACTGGTATTTAATAAAATTGTAACCGAGTCGAATCTGTACATTAAATATTTTTTGGAAAATTTTATTGAAATAGTCATTATTATCGATACAGAAGCTATAGTTTTTAGATTTTTTTTCTGTCTGTCTGTTTGTTTGGGAACGCATCATGAGAAAACCACTGGACAGATTTTGATGAAATCTGGTATGATTATTGCTGGATACGAGTCAACATACTTTTTACTGCGAAAAAACATCTCATCTGAGAAATCTATACTAAACGTTAAAACGTAACTAGGGACGAACCCGAGCGGAGCAAGGGTGAGTTGTTAGTGTAATAATATAAGGAAATGCACCTACAATATATTAGTACTATACAAGTCATAGGAACTTCTTGACCATAAATTTGATAATTCTTGTTTCGTCTTTCGGGTAGTCGAGTCCATTTTCCGCTAGTTCCTTCAATGAGGCCTCGGCGATTGTTTTGAAGCCAGCTCTTTCAGCGGATATTTGTGACGCTGGCCCGGTGAATACTGTGGCTGTGGCTTTGATCCCATACGCCGTGCACAGTGGTTCCCTTTTAAGATAAAAAAATATATACTTTCAAGACTCCGATCGTGATATATTTAGATAATAATGGCGAATATAAAAAATTGTATCGACAGGGGCTCGAACCCGTGTGTAAAGAACTTAGAATACAAAAAAAGTTACATTATCAGGGTTTTGTACCCGAAGGATGCCAACGGGACCCTATTTGTATTGTATGTCAAAAAATCTACCAGCAGTTCGAAAACAATGCTTCAGACCTGAAGACCTGCTGAAAGAAACTGAACGAGACGTATGATTAAGAAACTGTATATTATATCGAGATAAAGTAACGACTGTTTGGCTCAGTTTGTAGTGACCTTACTTGCTCTGCCAGCGTTCGTGGGTTCGAGTGCCGCTAGAGGCATTCATTTGTGTGATGAGCACGAATATTTATACTAAATTAATGGGTGTTTATATTTATAATATGTACTAGCGACTCAATCTCGCTTTGCTCGGGTTCGTCCCTACTTTGATTCCCCATACATCCCCAAATTTTCATCGCCATTTTCACCTTCTTAAGGGTTGATTTCCGAGATAAAAAGCATCCTATATCCTTCCCAGGGTCAAACTATCTTCTTACGAAATGTCATCTAAATAGGTTCAGTAGATCCAGATATTACCCCTACAACGTCACAAACTTTACCTCTTTATAATATTAGTATTGATGTGGAAGTTTGTATGTGTGTTTGTATATCCTCCTCAGTCCCGAGGCACCATTTTGTTTGCTATTTGAATATTTTTTTATAAGTACATACTTATAAACTTTTTAGGAAGCAAAAAAAAAACATATTTTATATTTTTTCTAATTTATAGATTTTTTATTAAATGTCCCATAGACTGTCGGTTTGCATGTTATGAAAACGGAATTTATTAACACTATATTTGTTAATCCTTTACGCTGAAGCGACTGGACAGTTTTGGTAGAAATTTAGCAAAAAGATAGACTATGATTTGGAGTAATACATAATCGTTGGCTTACTATTACAAGGTTCTATGTTAATTTTAAAGAAGTTTAGTAATTTTTACATAGAACTTCGTTATTTTGTTATCGTAAAAAAACAACATAAAACAATGTAAAATTGAATATTTTGTAGTTAAAGTGCCGCTATCTAGTGGTTTGTTTTTGCAAAAGTGTAGCTAATGACACATAGAACCTTTTAGCATTAATAACGAAATAAGTACTAAAATTGTAACATAGAACCTTGTAATAGTGAGCTAACGATTATGCTAATGTTGGACTTTTAGAGACGAGCCATATCGAAGTAAGGGTTGCTAGTCTATACTTCTATACTAATATTTTATATGTGAAAGTTTGTGAGTATGGACGTATGTATGTATGTTTGTTACTCTTTCACGCAAAAACTACTGAATGGATTTTGATGAAACTTTAAAATAATATAGCTCATACATCAGAATAACACATAGACTACTTTTTATCCCGAAAAATGTACGGTTCCCGTGGGATAGATTTGTTTTTGTTTTTTCTATAGGCGAACTAGAGCGAAGCGAGGGTGAGCCGCTAGTTTTAAATAAGTCAAAAGTATACCTAGCTCTTAAAATTCTCCAGCCGAGCTTGTGCCCTCTATACTCCCTTTTCACGACCAAGCCAAAAGTATGCAGAATTGTGTCTACTTCTAAATATTTAAATGCGTCCAATTTAGATTCTGCATATAAAAGTCCACCGTACACTTGCTTCCAAGCTTCCCCTTCGATCTGTCAATAAAATTATAATAAATTAGTTAAATTAAATCGAGTATATGTGGTTTTTTGTGTTACTGGATATAATCCGTCTTAATTATAATTATTAAACGACTTTATCATAGAAAAAGCTTTGAATTCTTTTATAAATATATCATGTCCATGGTCCATTCTAGCCGGTGATTCCCATAACCACCTGTATCCATGCAGGAAGTATGCGTAAAAAATATATGAAAAAAAATGATACTGTTGATTGTTGAGAATAGATCCATCTCTAAGAGTAGATAATAATTATTTTTAAAGTGATTGGTTCATTTAAAGAGGTATTGTATATGTATAGTCTACACTAAAATTATAAAGAGGAAAGATTAATTTTTTCGTTTGTTTGTTTGTACCGAATAAGCTCCGAAATTACCGAACCGATTTAGATGAAATTTGGTAAGAAGATAGTTTGAGACCCTGGGCATAGGATAGTTGTTTCCCGGAAATCATCCCTTAAGGGGATAAAAATGGTTATGAAAGGTTGTGTGGGGAAGCAACGTAGAGACGAACCCGAGCGAAGCGAGGTCGCTAGTCTGATATAAAACTGTAATGTACAATTATATCCGTATTCCGTAGTGTGGTAGCACATTGGCACCGCGCTTGACAAAAAAAAACAATATTAAAACTTGTCTTTATGTTGAACATAGTATATATTTATATAAATATTTATGTATAATGTCTATACATACAAGTGGTTGACCTTTAAATAAAATTTTATACTGGGAAAGAATGCAGTCGAACTCGTGTCAGGTCCTGTTTTACCCGACTGCCAAAGAGGGTTATGTTTTTGACTTGTGTGTGTGGAAGAGGAAGACTTACTGCACCAACCCCAAGTAACTTGGGCAGCGAGATGAATGTTCTAAAGTATGATAAAGCCTACCTCAATATCTGGTATTTTCTCACCAACAGTATCAGCAATACACACGTTTAGGGCAACTAAGCTCTTTTTCCCTTTAACTTCGACATAACAACCGAGACTCATCCGCTGGGATAAACACGCCTGCCAGAACTTCGATATACTTATTAAGCTCTCTTGATCTTCACATAGCTCTAGTAAAACAAAAAAGTATAATTTTTTCTTAGATTTCTGATAATATTTAACATTTTAAATAAAACTATCTTTTCGGGTTTTTTCCCGGATTTATTTTTGATTTTTCGTTCCCGATGCTTATAATGTTTTACAACAATCGTAGTCACGGGAGAGATTATCATGGGGGAACGTCGGGAACCAAAAGTCAAAATAAATTCGCGAAAAAATCAGAAAAAATAGTTTTATTATTTAAAATGTTTTACAGTAAGCTTATTTTATTATTTATTTATTTATTTATTTATTAGCTCATTTATAAACCTACTCTTTTCCATACACAACGTTTCATCAGGTGCAAGGTTTTCAATAAGGATTTGCAATGCAGTATCGTCGTCTTCAGGTGCTAAATCTTGTATTACCCACTTCAATCCTTCCGAATCTTCCCAAGAGTCCCAAATGCGAGGGCATGATGAATCCCAAACCCTTTTAAAGGGCATTTTTAACTGTAAAAATTATATTAATAATAAAGAAGAGGCCCTTCAGACCGAATTTTCCGCACGGTGTGATAGATTTCATAGACTGAACAGGTGCGTAAGAGATATTATAGAACACATGTGTGAAACATTAGTGAGTTCTATATTTCATTTTCACTATCGTAAGGTCACACTACCGTTGGGAAATCTTTTACTGGTAAATGATAAAAGTACGTTATTTTAACAATTATTATCATACACCTATAAGATATTCGAAAGTAAATAAAAAATATCGTCAACAGAAATAAAAGTCAAGGATATTTTACTCTTTCCTTTTTCTTGTTTTGTATCTAACACCCTCCTTTTAAAAACACACGATATATCCAGGCTTTAAACAAGATGTTATCGTTATATATTTAGACGTTACATTACCGGTGCCAAGTTCGAGCTCCGAATTATGTTATCTTTTAATGAAAACTATAAAGGTCTTTTTTTTCGGTTTCCGTTCGCCGGTTGTCAAACGAGTAACTGTTTTATACGTGCTCCTGAAGTTAAGTCGAAAATCTAAGCAAACATCAACAAAAATCTTCCAAACTTGCCGAAAACAACACTAGAAAGCAATCAGAACTAATCAACCATAAAGAAGTATTATTAATTGCAACTACTACAGTAAAAGGTTAGAAAAATTGTGCTAACTGCTATAATATAAGCTATTCATCCAAAACGTAAACACTAAACAAGTGTGAAGTTAGTTTCATAGTTCATAGTTCATACCGTTGACTTTCGCAGTACTGCCATCTTAACGGACACATATATTATGCTGCGTTTCGTTTCACGTATCTTAAAGCGTTAAGCTACTGCATCATGGATACCACAGGAATATTCGAAGATATGTTGAAATTACATATACAGGCAGTGGTAGCCCAGTGGTAACGCGCTCGCTTGGGAAACCGAGTGAAGCGAGTTCAAATCCCGGGTCTCGCACTTCTGATATTTTCGTGTACGAATCATTTCCAACATGATTACCACTTGTCTTAACGGTGAAGGAAAACATCGAGAGGAAACCTGCATGTCTTAGAGAACTTAGCAAGTTTTCGAAAGCCATGTGAAGTCCGCCAACCCGCACTTGGCCAGCGTGGTGGACTATGGCCTGACCCCCCTCGTACTGAAGGGAGGCCCGTGCCCAGCAGTGGAACGTTAAAAAGGGCTGAATACATGTTGAAATTATTTCAATTGATGCGGGACTCGAACCCGCGACCGCTGGCACAGCAAGTAAGGTCACTACAAATTGAGCAAATGTGTCGTATAAACAATGAATAATTCTGTAATAATATCAGTAAAACTCAGTCTGCATGATTTTTTTCGACATTTTCAATAATCATTGTTATATTTTAGCCAATTTACATAAAACTTTAATGAATTATATACCTAAACTTTCCTCCTTGGTGAAAACCGTATGAAAATCCGTTTGGTAGTTTTTAAGTTTATCGCGTTCAGACTGACAGACAGACGCGTCGGGGGTACTTTGTTTTATAATATTTTATTCCGTCAGTCATACATTTTGTTTTTTTTAATAATATATAGATTCGACCTGGATGTTTATTTATATTTATTATATGTAGAGAATAAACACTTTACTTAGAAAGTATTTCAATAAAAAACGTACAATCATTGAAAAACTATATTTCTAATTTATTTATTACAATTCTGCTTAAATGACACATTAATATAATTATTTTTGTTATAACAAGTATATCTAATAATAAATATATTTCTTTATTTATAGAAAATTTTACTACTTAGTGCGTTTCCTTTTATTTTATTACTTTGCTCATATATTATTATAAATTTTTTTCGGTCTTTTGAAATAAAATATAAAATAAACATAACTGCTAGGTATTTTTAGCTCCTCCCCAACGTGCGTTCACCTTGTTGTGGTGGGGGGGCTCAGTAGTGCTCGGCAACCCAACCGGGCGCGAAGCCAAGAAACGCACAGGGAGGTGGCCCATTTCGGTGGGCGGTGGTAGGTGGCCCTCTTCGGAGGGCGGTGTACCATGCGGGTTGCTCCTGGTACTTCTCTGATAGCAGAGTGGACCTTGGAGCAACCCCGTGGTTGTTGTCGTCTGCTTCGGCAGACCTGCCGTCGGGGCGTCGTAGTTGAATGCGTAAGCGATCCTGCGACGCCCCATTAAGACGGGGGAAGGCTTTGTTGGGTTTTAGTGGGTAGTACTGGCTTTGCCGGTGAGTCCCACACCTCGTGCGTAAATGCATTTCCCAACGTTAAAAAAAAAGGTATTTTTAGCTCGCCGTTTAATTTTCATGGTTCCCGATACAAAATAGAATACGTTGGTCAGGGACGGTGTGGCTTTCTAATAATAGAAACACGCGCAATATTGGCTTAGTAGTTTCAAGATCTTCGTATAAATAAAAAATGTACTCATGAAAAAATAAACAGAATTACAAATAGCGAAATTAAAAACAAATATAGATAAAATTTTATAATTAATTATAAATCTATACATACTCGTATAGTAAAATTGTAACCGAGTCGAATCTGTACATTCAATATTTTTTGGAAAATTTTATTGAAATAGTTATTATTATCGATACAGAAGCTATAGTTTATAGATTTTTTTCTGTCTGTCTGTTTGTTTGGGTACGCATCATGAGAAAACCACTGGACATATTTTGATGAAATCTGGTATGATGATTCAACATACTTTTTACTGCGAGAAAATATCTCATCTCTGAGAAATCTATACTAAACGTTAAAACGTAACTAGGCACGAGCCCGAGCGGGGCAAGGGTGAGTTGTTAGTGTAATAATATAAGGAAATGCACGTACAATATATAGTACTATACAAGTCATAGGAACTTTTTGACCATAAATTTGATTATTCTAGTTTCGTCTTTCGGGTAGTCGAGTCCATTTTCCGCTAGTTCCTTCAATGAGGCCTCGGCGATTGTTTTGAAGCCAGCTCTCTCAGCGGATATTTGTGACGCTGGCCCGGTGAATACTGTGGCTGTGGCTTTGATCCCATACGCCGTGCAGAGTGGTTCCCTTTGAGATAAAAAAATATACTTTCAAAACTCCGATCGTGATATATTTAGATAATAATGGCGAATATAAAAAATTGTATCGACAGGGGCTCGAACCCTTGTGTAAAGAACTTAGAATACAAAAAAAGTTACATTATCAGGGTTTTGTACCCGAAGGATGCCAACGGGACCCTATTTGTATTGTTTGTCAAAAAGTCTACCAGCAGTTCGAAAACAATGCTTCAGACAGATCAAGTGACGACTGTTTGGCTCAGTTTGTAGTGACCTTACTTGCTCTGCCAGCGTTTGCGGGTTCGAGTCCCGCTCGAGGCATTCATTTGTGTGATGAGCACGAATGTTTACACTAAATTAATGGATGTTTATATTTATAATATGTACTAGCGACACTCTCGCTTTGCTCGGGTTCGTCCCTACTTTGATTCCCCATACATCCCCAAACTTTTTTTTTTAAATAAAAAAACAAACTTTCATCGCCATTTTCACCTTCTTAAGGGATGATTTCCGGGATAAAAAGTATCCTATGTCCTTCCCAGGGTCATACTATCTTCTTACGAAATTTCATCTAAATCGGTTCGGTAGATCCAGATATTACCCCTACAACGTCACAAACTTTACCTCTTTATAATAATATAAGTATTGATGTGGAAGTTTGTATGTGTGTTTGTATATCCTCCTCAGTCCCGAGGCACCATTTTGTTTGCCATTTGAATAATTTTGTATAAGTGCATACACATAAACATTTTAAGAAGCAAAAAAAAACAATTTATATTTTTTCTAATTTATAGTTTTTTTATTAAGTGTCCCATAGACTGTCGGTTTGCATGTTATGAAAACGGAATTTATTAACACTATATTTGTTACTCTTTTACGCTGAAGCGACTGGACAGTTTTGGTAGAAATTTAGCAAAAAGATAAACTATGACTTGGGGTAATACATATGCTAATGTTGGACTTTTAGAGACGAGCCATATCGAAGTAAGGGTTGCTAGTCTATACTTCTATACTAATATTATAAATGTGAAAGTTTGTGAGTATGGACGTATGTATGTATGTTTGTTACTCTTTCACGCAAAAACTACTGAATGGATTTTGATGAAACTTTAAAATAATATAGCTCATAAATCAGAATAACACATAGACTACTTTAAATCCCGAAAAATGTACGGTTTCCGTGGGATAGATTTGTTTTTGTTTTTCTATAGGCGAACTAGAGCGAAGCGAAGGTGAGCCGCTAGTTTTAAATAAGTCAAAAGTATACCTAGCTCTTAAAATTCTCCAGCCGAGCTTGTGCCCTCTATACTCCCTTTTTACAACCAAGCCAAAAGCGTGCAGAATCGTGTCTACTTCTAAATATTTAAATGCGTCCAATTTAGATTCTGCATATAAAAGTCCACCGTACACTTGCTTCCAAGCTTCCCCTTCGATCTGTCAACAAATTTATAATAAATTAGTTTAATTAATTCGAGTATATGTGATTTTTTTGTGTTACTAGATATAATCCATCTTAATTATTAAACGATTTTATCATAGAATTCTGTTATAAATATATCATGTCCATGGTCCATTCTAGCCGGTGATTCCCATAACCACCTGTATCCATGCAGGAAGTATGCGTAAAAAATATATGAAAAAAATGGTACTGTTGATTGTTGAGAACAGATCCACCTCTAAGAGTAGATAATAATTATTTTTAAAGTGAGTAAAGTTCATTTAAAGTGGTATTGTATATGTATAGACTATAGAGCAATTTGGCCGTGCCATAATGTATCTAATTTTTGTCAGGATTTAGGATATAGGTACGTGTCTTTAGTCGTAAAATAAAAAATAAATAAATTATTTGAATTAATAATTCTTTACTCCCATCGAAAAACTACATTGGGTGATGATTCTGAATTTCAATGATTTGTGCAAGAATCGAACCCGTGACATAGTCAACAATTGCGTTGTACGTTTGTATTTTTTAA